ACCAAAATACATTTTGTTAAACGACAAAACAATAACTGTTTTTCTGAAAGTAGCAATACCAAGTGTTCATCAAAACATGCGGAATACTCATTGTTTGTGTAAACGCCGACAAAACAGAAGTAATTTCTCAGCTTTACATTGTCAAACCATCATGGTTCGGATCAGCATAAACCAGCTTTACATGTTTTTCAAATAGGATATCAAATAAGCTCCGCCCATTTTCCCGCCCACTACATCATCGTAAATAAACGTATTTATCCGCTCATTTTCGGTACTTACCGTCAGCGACAAGAAGGAAACAAAAACACGCGCCGGCGGATTTTCCGTTGGTTTAAACATATTTATTCAACAAAACATTTAACAAGTGAACAATATTTACAAAGTGCATTTTGGGATTTTCCGTTTAACACACCTTTTAGGTGTTTAGCTATTCACCAAACATAATTCACTTGCATAATTGCCATTCCATGCCTTTATATAATCTACATCAGCGGACTTTAAAGCTGCATGCCTCCAGATGACTCAAAATATTTCAAGAAAAAATTAAACTTGGAAAAACCATACTAAAACTTTGAGAAAAGTAAACAAATTATAGATTCAAGTGATAATTTATATCTCATGTGCAATTAATGACTGCATTTTGTAGTACTTATCACTATATTTCTACTGCGTTACTAATGCAGTAGGGGCTATTTATGCACATATTGACCTCTTTTTGTTAATTTACGTGGATTTTAAGTGCCAATTGTAATGTGTCAAGTACTTTCTTTGTTCAATTCACAATATTTTACCTTTTACATTTTTAAAATTTTCATGTAAATAAGGATGAATCTGGAGGCGTGCTGCTATAAATGATTATAGTCATATAAGTTTTGAAACGTTGTAGATATCACATTTCCTAGAAAAAAAGAAGAAAAAAACCCTCCTCACCAGGTTACTTACTGTCTGAGGTTAAATATTTTCCAAGGAAGTAATAACTATAGATAAGACCAGGTACGTATTGTGTTAATATATATACCTGATAAGACTATAGTCAACGACAAATAAATTTTACTGAGGGGATTCCAATTTTAATAGGAATAAGTAACATTGACAGTTATGCTGCTACCTTATCACTTTCAAATTTTGAAGTCAACATCTGTTAGAGATTTCGATACGACTAAATACTAATACAGACCAAATTCTGGCTGTTGTCTTTCTTAGTAGTAGCATTTACTAGTAACCTTAATTCTAGCGTATAGCTCCGCAAGAAAAAACTTTTAACAATAGTAAAATTAAAACCAAAGTTGTATGTACCCTTTCGTACATAACTTTTTATTTTTACCATACTGTATAGTTACTGGTTCTCCGCGTTACATCGTATAGAGAAGAACCATTGTCTAACTGTAACGGATTACATAAACCGGTTTTGACAAGCATACATGTGTATTTCTAAAATAACCTCTCTACAATGCACAACATAGTTGTTTGTTTATTGTAAGTTAGAGTAAGACATATATTTTCTCATTTTTACTATTTTTGTTTTCTCAGTAATAATATGAGTCCAAAGGTATGTATGTTGATTATCAGTTTATGTATACCTTGTTTATTTTATCTCTAAACAAGAAAAAGATTACATACATTCGTATGTAATATGGGTTCGATTGCATACTACTTTTTGTGAAGACTTTTTATGTTTGCTGCATTAAGGGGGAATGTAAAATGAACAAACATGTCATGAGATATTTTATATCTTTAAGCATTTTCATGGAATGAAATTAATGTATCATCATATTAAAGTTGCATGTCTTCAGATGAGAAATTTTTTTTCAAGGAAATCAAAATATGAAAAGAAAATTCACGGTCAATTGAATGCTTTGAAGCATAATCACAAAATAAAATTACAGGAAATAAAAACCTTTTTAATACACTAAAGGTAGAATTTCATTGTAAATCACAGTCGCAGATTTGAGATATGATTATTTATTCAAATTAACGTCATTAGGCCATTTTTTTATATTTTGGTTTACTGATTTTTTTCCAAAAAAAGGTAGGGTCGGCGGCGGGAAAAAAAAAAAAAAAAAAAGGTTTTCATAACTTTAAATGTGGTGCATTACATATACATAGTACTTACCAGAGCAATGAAATTAAATACATCGATCGCCGATTGTCTATTCCAAAGATTGTCTAAATACACAAAAAAAGGTATTTTCCATCCTATGCGACGCGCCGAGGTTAGCTATATTTGTAATTCCCGCGCTAAGTCGCGATGGTGCTTGGGATAATCACTTGATACTGTAAATGGCAGCCATTCTACGATACGAAAATGCCTGGTTTATCCTGCCGAAAAGATATGAAAAATACTTGCAATTCAAAGTTCGTTTGCTTGCAATTCAAAGTTTGTTTGCTACATAAATATTATCGATTTACTCCTTTTCTCTGTCTGATTGCAATAATATTGATGTGTTTTCATTGGCTTAAACCATCACGCTATCAATACACATGTAGATGTGGACTAATTTCGTGTTCCGTTAATAGACATATAACAATCTTATTTACAAATGAATTGATAAAAAAACAATCCAAAAAGCATTTAAGATAATAACAATCATTGGAAAAAAATAAATGCATATAAATTGTAAATTTGTACACGTATGACAACTCACTCAGTAAACAAAACATAAAAGACTCAACCAAAACAAGCGTCTGCTTCTTTACCTAACTATGTAGTTGCATGATCATGATTAGCAATAGCAAACCAAATTTAAGAGCTAAAGCTATTGTAAATATAATGACCACAGCAGATTTCGTACAGAAAAGCCATCAATAACAAAACTTAATAATATTCTGTGTGGTACTTCATGTACATAAGAATAGTTCTTTGCTTTTGATCAGAGAGACAGCAAGTCTATAGGTAACAGCTATTGACAGCATGTATACACAGATCTTAGAGCTGTCATTGATTCAGTACAATGCATAAAAGAAGACCTTAACCTACGTCAATCAGCTTACATATATTTAATAATAAAAGGCTAATTCACACCATATTACTCAAAATATCTCCCAATGGTGGTAAAAAGAGATTTTAGGATACACTTCAACATTTCAACATAAAAATGGGACAAATTCACAAGTTTTTGGTTTTACAACGGAATTATTGATAGTAACCTTTGAAAAGTTCCATAGCTATACACATAGTAAAACATTTGGCGTTTTCTACAACCCAATATAGTCTTTTAAAGAAAGAAGGCACAGGTTTACTGTTCATTTCTCTTTATTCGTGTTGCCAAAAGTGACTTCCATGTATCGTATTCCAGTAATGTTTGCTGAATGTAGAAGACATGCTGTCGAATACTACCGTTATAACGTTTGAAGGCACAAAATTCTGTCGATAAAAGGGAATGTGGTTTGTGTCGTTATATATGGGAAACATTACCTTATGTTAATTCACCAACTTTAGTTTTTGCATATTATTATGCTCAGTATCAGTATAAACGTTGTTACATTGTTACAATACATATTAACCAATTTTGCATTACTTTAATATCCTGTGCTAGAATACGTTTTAACAAAATCAGAAGATATTCAAAGTCAACTGTAATACAGTTGATGTATGTGAAATTTTTAACAGTTTTATATCATTTGTAATATTTTTGTACCAGCAAGAGTTACCACACTTTATATTCTGCTTTCCTGAAAATTGGCTCCGCCTATTAATTTTCGTCTATTTCCGTGATAATTCCATATATGGAAGTTGCAAAATCGTTTACAAATGTTAATTGCGTTAGAATGTAAAAGGAAAATGTGGTGTTGTCAACCTGAGAGTGTTAACTGGTGAAACGTCATGATGCACAGCAACAAACGTGTTGTGTACGTTCTATTGTTAACATATGTCGCAAATTTGAAGTTATACATTTCTAAATACAGTTTGCAACTTAGCTAAGTTGCAAGTAAACAGCTTCCATTTTATCAAATCGAAATAATCAAAACGCATAATAGTCGTGCAGTATCGACAATTAGATTTTACTAATCTGTTTAGTAGAACCGAAGTATATATGCATTGTCAAGTTTCAAAGGCTGTATTTTTGGCAACGAATAGCCTCCATATACCGCTAGCGGGGTATTTGAATTGTTTCAATTTTGAAGACTATTTTCATCATCATAATTATTATTATATTATACCAGTGTACTTTGCCAGTGTATTCCTGTATGAAATTTCGTTAAAATATAAATAAAATAACGAAAAACTGAGCTCCCGACAGACTTATAAAGTCCGTACGATGTACAAATAGGAACGGGATATTATATATTTTCCCACCAAATTCATATAAATGCTTCAATTATTTTAATAGAAATTAAAGGTATAACTCGACCATTATGATCTGACCTTCTTGACTTCTGTTATGATAAATATTCATCTATGCACGGCATCATGGGCATAGAGATCCAGTTTCCACTAGGATACACAATGAATTTCATGCTTTATCCCAGCTTTATTAGTACTGTGTCCGATTAACCGGCGAACAATTTATTCAAAGCATTTACTGATAATATATTTTAATATCGGTTTTTATTGATTCATAGAGAAATAATCATACTTAGACAATCGTAAAAATAGTTTAGAAAATTTGTCAGGGACACCCTACCACCAGTCATGTATAGGCGTTCATTTAAAAAAAAATGTTTTTTTGTTTTTTTTTGACATGTAAGAAAACAAGGTTGAATGTAAAGCAAGCCCCTGAATCCGTACAAAAGTCCTTAAACTCAATGTAATGTCTATCAGATTACGAGACAAACAAATTATTATTTCACACATTATGGATATTTTTAACCATGCCTGTGCGATGTGCAGCTATGCTTAATTATTTATGTTACATCGTGGCCGACAATTTCTTAATTTATAAAAAGAAGGCTAAATAAAAGGTAAACGATATAATGTTGCGATATTCCAAGTTTATTTGATTATCTCAGTATGCATACAAATACATAAACACGAGAAAAATAATCCTTAATATATATAAAACCATGTCTACAGAGGACAACATTCATGCAAAAAGATAAATTATGAATATTTGTTCGCAAACAAATTTCTTGTGTATATGAATGAGAGACAGTACAATAAATTGTTTACAAATATCGTCTGTCAACTTTAACCTTTTCTTAACCTGCATTCTATTGTATTGTGATTGGTCAGCTGGAGCACGCCGTTAAATAATTTTGTAATTTACACAACAGTAGGTGTATATGTGTCTACTTCAATATAATTATAGTGTTGTGATGATTTCGTTTATGCGGCAAAAATGGAATTAATAAACCTGCAAAAAGTAGAAAAAGAAGAATTAAATCTCTGTTGATCTTGGATTATTATCTGGTTACTGATTTTTAGAGATGTAAGGCTGCAAAATTTACAAATGTTACGGGAAACTGGGAAAGGTGAGTAAATATTGGATTTATTTCGTAAACAACAGAAATAAAGGGGACCCCCCCCCCCACTGCGGTTTACCGTACCCCGGATTTTGCTCGATATAATGAGGACTTTCATCCCATTTCGCGACTTTGAACAAGGAAAGAAGGTAAGTTCAGTGACGATATTTAGTCATTTGAATTGGTTTGATATAAATTTTATAGAAAAAACAAATACTTCGATGATTTCTCTAGTTACTGAAAACCAAAACATGTTGTGAAATAGCTTTGAAATGTAATAAGGAGGTAAAATTAGTCTCTTTGCTCACGTGATAAATGAGCTCGGATCAGTCAAATTTGAGGTTTTTGTGCATATATAGAGTCTACTCGGTTCCTATGATATCAAGGGTTCTATGATATCAAGGTATTTAAATTTTCTGTAACTGCTAGTAAAAGCAACACATGATGATGCTAATATTTGTAAAACTTGCACACTAGATTCATTTTCATCTGCCAATAAATTTAATTTGGTGAATAATGAATATATTTGTGTCAAGAAAACTATTTTATAAAACCTTCATATTTGACTACCATTTTCCTTTATGGTTTTTACACAGTCAATTAAAATATGTTATAAATACATATACTGACAAATAGTCTGTTCATATAGTTTTAATTTTATAGCAATTTAACTGTTGGAATGTTTTCACAACTTAACTTGAAAGTTTTGACACATCTATCCTTCCATACTTGCTTTTTTGGGATTACCTTGATACCGTAGTAACCTCCTCTGAAATTACCAAAAATGGCAGACGTCGTAAATATTCTAAAAAATGTCATTTTTATTGGTTCATTTGAAATATTTTTTTGACATTCAGTTCTGGAAAAGGTTCAATTATAAGAGGGAAGACAAATCTCATTCATTTATGATATTTATATTTAAATATTTTCCGATAAACATTAAGTACCGTAATATCATAGAACCCCGGGCTTTAACTTCCTTAAAAGAAAAACTTGAATCCAGTGAAATGTGATGATGATGATAATGTTTATGTTGTTAATGTTCAATCAATAATAGAACCTCAGATGACAGTGCATTTTGAGAATAAATACACATGTCAGTCACTCAGTGTACCGAGTATTGCGTTGGAGTTGCGCGACAAGTTTACATTTCGTTTGCACAAGTCATCATTACATTTTGACATGTTACCATGTCATTTGCACAAGTCATCATTATACTTTGACAAGTTAACATGTTGTTTGCACAAGTCATCACGATACTTTGACAAGTTAGCATGTTGTCTGCACATGTCATCATAATAATTTGACAAGTTAACATGCTGTTTGTGCAAGTCAGCATGTTCCTTTGACAAGACATGATGTAAATTGCACATGTTAACATGCTCAAACGACAAAATAATATCATCGTTTCACAAGATAACAAAAACATTGATTACATAAGACAGTCACCGCGTTCCATAGTGCTACGTCACAGTTTTATTGTTGATATCTGGAACACAGCAAATATGATATGAAAGTAATCATCTCGTAAAAAGAATAAATTTGTATGAAAACATCTGTTACAATGTGGAAATATACCGTTAAATAAGGACTGCTACTTATAGACTTAAAGTCATGTTTGATAAAATTAAAATTGATGTACGGATGATCCGAAGGCGGAGTTTCTCATGCAAACAGAAATTGTACTTCCCATTTCGCCACAATGAGGTTACCCTTTTTATGCTAATAAAACTCATTTTTGTTGTCTGGACACCAAAATAAGGCTTTGAGTCGATATGAAACCCAATTTATTAATGAAATGTCGCCATGGTCGCTATTTAGATTTTTATGAAATTTATTAAATGTAGCTTTAATAGATAAATGTAGATATTACTACAGTACAGTATGTACTCAATCATTGTTCTTTGTACAGTCTGATGACAAACTTTATAATTATGTTGATCAATTATCAAATTTTCAGAGCATCAAAAATTATGTATCAAACTGAGAATTAACAATAAATAGTACCAGTTAATAATAGATTATGATAGACATCCGTCCGTCTGAATTTAGTTTCCGGATTAGTTCTCTGCAACTACTGGCTGGAATTCAACGAAACTTTATGGGAATCATCAATATCAAGAGGAGATGCGCATATCGTCAGCTTGTTCCGGTCAGACCGTTTAACTCAGAGTTATGGCCCTTGATTAGTTATGCAGTATGCATATAGAGTTCAATTTCGTTTCCGGAGTAGTTCTCTGCAACTACTAGCTGGAATTCAACGAAACTTTACGGGAATCATCAATATTAAGAGGAGATGCGCATATCGTCAGCTTGTTCCGGTCAGATCCTTTGACTCAGAGTTATGGCTCTTGATTAGTTATGTAGTATGCATATAGAGTAAAAATCGTTTCCGCACTACTTCTCTGCAACTACTGGCTGGAATTCAACGAAACATTATGGGAATAATCAATACCAAGAGGAGATGCGCATATCGTCAGCTTGTTCCGGTCAGACACTTTAACTCAGAGTTATGGCTCTTGATTAGTTATGCAGTATGCATATGGAGTAAAAATCATTTCCTCGCTAGTTCTCTGCAACTACTGGCTGGAATTCAACGAAACTTTATGGGAATCTTCAATACCAAGAGAAGATGCGCATATCGTTGCCTTGTTCTGGTCAGACACTTTAACTCAGAATTATAGCCCTTGATTAGTTATGCAGTATTCATATAGAGAAAAAATTGTTTCCGCGCTACTTCTCTGCAACTACTGGCTGGAATTCAACGAAACTTTATGGGAACCTTCAATACCAAGAGGGGATGCGCATATCGTCGCCTTGTTCCGGTCAGACACTTAAACTCAGAGTTATGGCCATTGATTAGTTATGCAGTATGCATATAGAGAAAAAATCTTTACGGCGCTACTTCTCTGCAACTACTGGCTGGAATTCAATGAAACTTTATGGGAACCTTCAATACCAAGAGAAGATGCGCATATCATTGCCTTGTGGGGGTCAGACACTTTAACTCAGAATTATGGCCCTTGATTAGTGATGCAGTATCCATATAGAAAAATATTAGTTGCCTCACTACTTCTCTGCAACTACTGGCTGGAATTCAATGAAACTTTATTGGAACCTTCAATACCAAAAGGAGATGCGCATATTGTCGCCTTGTTCGGGTCAGACATTTTAACTTAGAGTTATGACCCTTGATAATTTAGGCAGTATACAACCAGAGCAATAATCGTTTCCGTGCTACTGGTTGGAATTCAATGAAACGTTATGGGATACAAAGTGGAGATGTGCATATAGTCGCCTTGTTCCGGTCAGATACTTATAACTCAGATTTATGGCCCTTGATTAGTTATGTAGTATGCATACATCTCATTGGCATTTCCAGATATTACTATTTAACACAAAGTTATGGCTCTGTTATTGCCCTGAATATTTATCAAGTTCAAAGAATATTACTGTTTATGCCATGATTAATATATAAATAAAGCCTCATGTTTTCAGTTGTTGTGTTAATAAAAACCAGTACTCGGCGGGGGATATAAATTCAACGTATTTGCTTGTTATTATTTGTATGTATGAATTGATTATAATTATTATTATCATTGGGATTGTTATTATCAGTGTTATTATTATCATTGTGATTGTTATCATTGGTGTTATTATTATCATTGGGATTGTTATTATTGGTGTTATTATTATCATTGGAATTGGTATTATTGGTGTTATTATTATCATTGGTATTGTTATTATTGGTGTTATTATTATCTTTGATATTGTTATTATTGGTGTTGTTAATACCATTGTTATTATTATTACTACCGTTATTATTATTGTTGTTATTTATATTGTTATTGTTATTATTTATTCTGCACCAAAAAGATATCATTCTTATCTTGGCTTCTTCTTTAAGCGGCATTATACCTTGTTCACTGTATATCATATAGGAAGGCGTTGACCTTTTCAAATTTAAGATGTGTTTGAAAAACTTGAGTTGTACTATTTCGAGACATGTCATGTTTCTGTAGCCTATTGCATAAAGTTCACTCCCATATAAAAGCATAGGTTGGATTGTTTTTTTGTATATATCAATTTGTAGATCTAGAGGCAAGTCAATATGTCTTATTTTCTTTAATAACATATACATGGTCTTTGTTGCCTGTTTAGCAATATGATCTTTGGTTTTTTATAGCTGCAGGTTTTTGATAAATAGAGTCCTAAGAATTTGTATTCATTTACAATTTCTATTTCTTTATTCCCATTAGTAAAGATTGGAAGGTTTTTACAATTCTAGATCCAAACATGATTATTTTAGTTTTTAGTGTGTTGACTGTAAGTTTCCATTTTGAGCAGTATTGTTCAAATAGTTCCAGCTCTTTTTGTAGGCCATGTTGTGAGTCACTTAATAACACGGTGTCATCAGCACATAGAATAACAAAGAGTTTGAGATAAATTGAAAGGTTAAGTTCAGAGATGCTGAAGCTTATTCCATTTGCATTATTATCTGACAGAAAAGTTTCAAGGTCATTTAAATAAAGTGAAAATAGTATGGGCGACAAATTTTCTCCTTGTCTTACTCCGATTAGACTTGGGGAAAAAGTCAGACACTCCTTGGGAAGTTTTTACACATGATTTAATGTTTTCATACATACTTTTTACTATTTTTAAAAAAAAATTGCTTTTACATTGTATTTAATGAGTTTATTCCACAATCCTTGACGCCAGACAGTTTAAAATCGATAAATGCTCAGTATATTTTTTTCTTTTTTTGTTCTTAGAATATCAATTAAAGATTGTAATATAAATAAATTATCTGTAGTTGAGTGGCTTTTGCGGAATCCTGCTTGGCATTTGGTTATAATGTTATGGTCTTCAGTGTAATTTGTAATTCTATTGTTCAGTATGGCAGTAAATAGTTTACCTTAAAGCAACTTAATAAAGTGATTGGTCTATAATTTTCAGGTTGAGTGGCATTTCCCTTATTTTTATAAATGGGTAATATTACACCTTTTGTCCAGCTTGATGGTATTAATCCAGAGTCAAAAATAAGGTTAAATAATTTGTTATAAATTGGAAGCATTGTATCAAAAGTAGACTTAATGTGTTCATCACATCCTGGACTTTTATTGTTTTTGAGTAGTTCAACTGCTTTTTTTATTTCCTCATCAGTGATAAAATCTGTGATTATTTCTTCATTTACTTCTACATGTATAACAGTTTCTGAATCTATTGGATTATCTTTTATGTTTTCTCCTTCATTTGCCTTTTTGAAAAAAATCATATAGGTTATTAAGAGTATAAAGGAAAATTAATATTTATTGAAAAACCTATTAAGCTATAATATTTAACTTACGTTACTTTAATATATTATTTGTAGAATAACAGTAACATTAACTGATAAAAAAAAATCGAAAAGATTATCTTAACATTTAACAATTATTTTTTTTTACTTATTAATAACATTACAAAATTGTTGCATTGTATAAACCCCAAATAAAAATGACAAAAAAAATCTATTGAGCGAATATTTCCGAATATTGTTTCTTAAGGCGTTTTTCTTTTAAAATAAAGTAACAAAAGGTTTATATATAATTCTTACCTTGGGGGCAAAAACATAGACCTATGTTGAGTTAATAATTTCAAAAAGGATTTTTTTTGTTATATTTGTTGACAAAAAAAAAGTTTAATAAGTCTATGTTATAATCTTTTTTTAAATATTTTTTATGAGAAAGGGAGGAATTTGTCGTATTTTACTGTTTACACATCATATTAATATAAATGACAAGTCGACATGTATATACATATATTAAGGTTTTTAATATTTCATATATAAAAGGGTGTACATTATAAAGTTCATACGTCAAAATGATAGATAACGTATTTGGGAGTCGGCTAGATGTCATAATATTTTATGTGAAAGCTGTCATTATATATATTGGGCTAGAGGTTCAGTCTAGCAATTCGAATTTAGTACTTGACTTGTACACTTATTTGTATATTAAAAGTATGAAATATCTGTGAGTTCTCTCTCCATTATACGACATCGGTAGCCTTAGTTGTATTTTTAGATTGATCAATAGAGTTAATTATTTTCCAGTATTCTCTTGGGCTTGTACTTTTTGCATTTCTAAGTTTCTCAATGCTTTTATTTTTGTGTTCTTTGTGTGCAATATTGATATTTTGTTTGTATTCTTTACTTATTATTTTTAGATTATTTTTATTTCTTTCTGTTTTGTTCCTATTATAGATTTTTCTTCCTATATGATATGTTTGCATGTTGTATTAAACCATGGTTGCCATCTATTTTCTTTATGGGTCCTCTGTTTGTTCTTTGGTTTCCCAAACGTTACCTTGCAATTGTTTATAAAAAGTTCTTATTTTTTTCTAAACAGTTGTCAAGGTCACATTGGGATATATTTTCTTGCATGTTCATATTTTCTAAGTATTCCTTTATATTAGATATGGTTTCAGTGTCTAGATTTTGAATAAATTATTTTTGGCTTTTTCCCATAACCTTTGCTCACCTTCTGTTTGTTCTAACTTTGCTCAGTATTGTCTGTGTTTATTATCCCTCGCCGAAAGGCGGCGGGGGATATAGAAATAGTCTCCGTCCGTCGGTCCTAAGTTCCTTCCGTCCGTCCGTGCCACTTAAATGGACTAAGGGGCCATTTCTATTGTTAATGAATGAACTCTATTGTTCTCTTTTGTTCTGTTTACAGTTTACTTGGCCCCCTACTTCTCTTAAATTGCACACATAGCCAGCATCTTCTGCTTGGTTGCACAAAATGGCCTCGAGAGCTAAAAAATAGACAAATCCTATCAGGCTAACACAGGTCAAACTGCTGGTGGGATTTCCACCAAAATTCACAGGAGTTCAGTACCATCCCTAGTTGTGCATATTACGGCATGTTCCGCTTTGCTGCACAAAATGGCCAACAGAGCTATAAATATAAAACTCCTGCTTTCACAGATCTAGCTTACTTATGAGACTTCAATGAAACTTCACATGAGTGACCATACTTAGTTTTGGGAGACATATGTTTTTGTGACAAAAACCCTTTCAGTTGAATTTTCATGCTAAACGAGGTAATTTTTCGGCTAGACTTTAGAATCTGTCAGCAACTAACATAACAACTTTTAACATAATGATTTGAATATTTATTTTATGTTTCTCTACAAAATCACTCATATTACTTCTAGGTTTAAGGGCTCAGGGTCTTTTTACCCTTATTTGATATAGCCTGAGTATGCAGCTACTTCCCCAAGTTTAAGGCGAATTACTACCTTTTCCCCCAAAAAAATAAGTCTAAAATTCTCCTCTCTGGGAAGATTCCCTTTTAAAATGAAATAAGAATCAAAGAGTAATACTTGTAAACAAACGTTTTGGTTTAAAAATAGATAAACGTTTTTGTCCAATGACAGCCATTGATTCAATTACCCAAAAGGGGGATGTCTTGATTCAAAACAGTAGAGGTTAACTCATAGCCTTGGTCTGATATTGCAATTTCCTTAAAACAGCATTGGAAAAACCCACTACCTCATTCTGACATGCGACATATGATATTTTACAACATTACGGTGAACGATGCCACTAATGTAAACAATGTGACACAAGTGGTGTTCAAACAAGAAAATAATACAATTGTGTGACATTGGTAATACAGTTACTTTGACCATTTTATCAAAATTTGGAAGATTTGATGACCTTTCTTTAAGTGCAATACCTGCCAGAGTACCCAATACATATATCTATTCTCAAGCCTCTGTCCGGGAATCTAGCACATCACTAATTTCGAACCTAGCACAACATGCCAAAGTGCTAGTATTCAAATCTGAAATGTCATTGACTTAAAGCGTTGAATATGTGTCAAATGTTGTGTCTTAAATTGCTGTACAAGTCCGGAGCAGTAAAAACAATTTGTCTGTTAATGCATGTTCAGATTGTCTTCAGACAAATAAAATTTTTCCAGAATTTACTTTTTAAATATGATAGTGACAAGTAAAGAAATGCTTCTTATAAAACAGACAGGTTTAGTCAAAATCAGATTTTGCAGGCCTTTGAACTTTATTTCCCAGTTATTTTGTTAGCTTTTGAATAGTTATTGACTGTTGACTATAAGATTTATCTACAAATAGAACTTTATTTTTGCATCTTTTCTCTTCAGCTGCTTTTTGGCAATATCATAGTGTAATAGTGAATAAGTATTTTGTATTGAAGTCAAAATACTACATTTTTTCACATTATTTCTACTTTTTTCAAAATTAAAGCACATTAATATTTCATTACATTCTTCAGGTAACAAGCATCTAACATTCTCTATAACCTATATTTAAATGTTTGCCCTTTCTAAAGAAGTACAAATTTGTTTCTGAGGTATAATGAGAAGATTTTCATATGACACATTGTCTTTCATTCTAATACTGTTTTTTTTTAAGAATATTTTAACTGCTTTGTGTATATTGTAAATTAAAACATGTATATATATTCAAATAAAAATATGTTTAAAGCAGAACGCCTCCAGATTTATGCTTATTTTCATAAACATTTTGAAAATGAAATATTGTGTAAGTATCCAAAAGAAAGCAATTTACAAATTATCAATGGCACCTTCAACCCACGTTAATTACAAAAAGAGGACAAAATATCAAACAAATGCCCTTACTGCGTTAGTAACGCAGTAGAAATATTGTTACACATAATGAAAAATTCACCATTAATTGCTCATACCAATCATGTAAATTATTACTTGAATCTTAAATATTTCTACTTTTCCTAAATTCTTTACAACATTTTTCATAAGTTTGATTTATTGAATATTTATTAGCTCATCTGGCGGCATGCTGCTTTAAACTAATGGGCCTTTTATTCATATACCGTATTTACAATATTAGCACTTTCTGATTTTTTTTTTTTTTTCAGAGATAGACAGATATGATTCCAAAAGTTAACTGCATTACAGCATGCTTATGTCACTATAAGTTAGGAATTTTATTATTCCTTGTCTTGAATGATATTGGACAGACATATGGAGGTAAACCTTAATTGGTGTTACATGTACTAATTTTAAGGAAGTTTGGTACATTGAAAGTTTCATTTTTGTTTCAAGTCATTTATACAGTCAGCTATCTTACAGGGGGTCAGTGTTTTATTTCCAGTTTGAGCCCCTATGCCTAATGAGTTTTAACACCAAACAATATCCAGGTCATGAGAAAGTTATTTTTATACCCCCGCACAACAAAGTTGTAAGGGCCGTCCGGCCGTCCATCGGTTTTTTCTTGTCCCCCCAATAACTTGAGATTACTTTGACCCACAGTTTTCATATTTGGCATGGAGGTTAGTCATGGTTAGTAGATGACCCCTATTGATTTTGAGGTCACCAGGTCAAAGGCCAGGTCACAGGGGCCTTGACTTCAAAAAGCTTGTCCGCCCAATAACTTAAGAATCCTTTGACCCACTGTCTTCATACTTGGCATGGAGGTTAGTCATGATTAGTAAATGACCCCTATTTATTTTAAGGTCACTGGATCAAAGGTCAAGGTCACAGGGACTTTAACTTCAAAAAGTTTGTCCGCCCAATAACTTTAGATTCCTTTGACCCAAGGTCTTCATATTTGGCATGGAGGTTAGTCATGATTAGTCGATGACCCATTTTGATTTTGAGGTCACTGGATCAAAGGTCAAGGTCACAGGGACTTTGACTTCAAAAAGTTTGTCCGCACAATAACTTAAGAAACCTTTGACCCACAGTCTTCATATGTGGCATGGAGGTTAGTCATGCTAAGTAGATGATCCTTATTGATTTTGAGGACACTGGGGCAAAGGTCAAGGTCGCAGGGGCCTTGAATAAAAAAGGTTGTCTGCCCAATAACTTTAGATTCCTTTGACCCACAGTCTTCATATTTGGCATGAAGGTTAGTCATGATTAATAGGTGACCCCTTTTGATTTTTAGGAAATTGGGTCAAAGGTCAAGGTCACAGTGGCCGTGACTAAAAAAGATTGTTTGCCCATAAACTTAAGATTCCTTTGAACCACAGTCTTCATATTTGGCATGGAGGTTGATCATGACCATTAGGTGACCCCTATTGATTTTGAGGTCACTGGGTCAAAGGTCAATGTCACAGGGGCCTTGACTAAAAAAGTTTGTCCACCCATTAACGTAAGATTCCTTTGACCCACAGTCTTCATATTTGGCATGGAGGTTGATCATGACCATAAGGTGACCCCTATTAATTTTGAGGTCACTGGATCAAAGGTCAAAGTCACAGGGATCTTGACAAAAAAAGCTTTTCCCCTCAATTGCTTAATAATGCCTGTCCGCAGTGTATTGATTTTGTCATTTTCACATTTGAAGCATGTAGAATACATAACTTAGCAATGCACTGGCTTAGTAACCTCAGATTTGGCAGGGAGGTTGTCTAAATGGTCTAAATGGCCACTGTTGATTCTGACAAAGTGGTATGCGGCGGTATTCAGGCCATGATAGTGGCAGTTCTAGTTTAAACAGTTGCATAGATAGTTGGACTTTAAATGCCACAGGTGTTTTTAACTTTTTATGACAGAAGCTTAGTTAATAAACAAGTTCTCTGTTCTCTACACAATCAAAATTTTCTTTATAATCATGCTGTTGTCCCAAAACCCTAATTTACACAAGCTTTTTACTTTCCCAAATCAGCAGTTTATGTGACTATTCTTCCCAAGATCTAGAGGCTATGTTCCCTTTCAAATTATGAGAGAAAAACCATCAGAGTGTTTGTATTGTCATTGATGCATTTTCTTCATTTAACTGGTGTCATTTTTGTGTCGCCTCTACGGAGTAGAGGCGACATTTAGGGATCACTTCTCTGTTGTCTGTCTGTCCGTCCGTCCGTCCGTCACAAAACTTGTCCAGACTACTCCTCAGGACTACTCCTCAGGACTACTCCTTATGAACTACTGGTGCAATTTCATCCAAACTTTACAGGAATGAACAGTACTAAGTCTAGTTGTGCATATTGTCAGCATTTTATGGTTCAATGACTTTTGTAAGAGTTATGGCCCTTTAATAATTTTTATTTTTAAAGTTTGTCCGGACTACTTCTCTTTTACCACTAATGCAATTTCAATGAAACTTTACAGGATTGATCTATAGCTCAAGTCCTTGCGCATATTGCAAGGGTTTTTCGCTTGAATGATTTTTGGCCGAGTTATGGCCCTAATTGATAAAAAGGTGTTTTTTTCTGTGTGTTGCCAGATACATAAAAGCTTGTCCGGACTACTCCTCATAAACTACTGGTGCAATTTCATCCAAACTTTACAGGAATGATCAGTACCAAGTCTATTTGTGCACACTGTCTGTCTGTCACAAAACTTGTCCCCACTACTTCTCATAAACTACTGGGGCAATTTCGTCCTAACTTTACAGGAATTTATGTCGCCACTACTCCGATCACTTCTCCGTTTGTCACAAAAATTGTCCCAACATGAAATTGGCCATCATGAGGCGACATGTGATCACTGACTGTCTTGTGTGATCAGGGTCTTGCTAAAAATACATAAAACGAAATCAGAGGATACTGTCTGCTTTGGGCATCAAAGCTAGAAACTGTAGAAAAGTTGAATTTCCGAATTATAACTTAATACTGACTTAATATTACAGTTCACTAAATATAATCGGACAGGACAAAAATAATTAAATGTTTAAACTTAATGAAATTTTTTGTATATGTTTCTAGTCATATAAAATAGGATTCAAAGCTACAATTAGCAATGCTTCATGCAGTAAATAAGCAATTTTCACCATTGTTTATAACCACTGCTGATTTTGTAGTCAAATTAAAGTCAATGCCACCACAATTGCATTGTGAATTGTAAGTTAATGTGCTCTTTAGTCCTTTGCCTATTAAAATTTCAACTTGGAATGTTTGGTATTAACAATTTCTTGTTTATTTGTTGACAGGTCTTACTATAAACTTTATCAGCAGTAATTGTGGGAGGGAGTATAGTCTTGATGTTCGTAAATCTGCACAAATTGAGCATAAAGGGTCAGACATTTTACATGATGACAAGTGTAATTTGGGATTTTCCAAAAGTCAGGTCTATGATGATCAATTAATTTGTGTTTCTGGTCAGGAAATAAAGCTAGATTGTAGGACACAACTTGAATACCATGCTGGATATATAAAGGATAACAGATCTGATGCAGAGGTAGGCCATACTATATTTGTACAATAACATTTTGATGGATGGCTTGATTCGTGACTAACTGTTGTGAACTCCTCATAAGAGTGAGATATATCTGCTTGATTATACATGACTTGTACAAGTATTTGTAAAAATATTGATTATTAGTCCCCTACCGGTTTCACCGGAGGGGACTTTAGGTTTACCTTCCGTCCGTCCTTCTGTCTGTCTGTCTGTCAGTCAGCTAGTCAGTCCGTCAGTCCGTCCGTCCACAAAACTGGATCCCGCGATAACACAAAAATTACTGAAAATATTTTAATGAAACTTGATATATGGATAGATGGCAGTATGGAAATTATGCACGTCTTTTTCTTTTCTTCCTATGTTGACAATTCTGGTTGCTATGGCAACTAATAATCTGAAAATATGGCAAATTTTACACATAAACTGGATCCAGTGATAACTCAAAAAGTACTGATACAGAAAATATTTTAATGAATTTTGATATATGGATAGCTGGCAGTATGGAGATTATGCACGTCTTTTTCTTTTCTTCTATGTTGAAAATTCTGTTTGCTATGGCAACTAATAGTCTGAAAATATGGCAAATTTAAAATATAAACTGGATCCAGTGATAACTCAAAAAGTACTGATAATATTTTTATGAAACTTTAAATATGGGTAGATGGCAGTCTGGAGATTATGCTCATCTTTTTTTTTTTTCTTTTTATGTTGAAAATTCTGGTTGCTATGGCAACAAATAGACTGAATTTCAAGATTTCTGATTTGAATTTTAAGCTTTTTCACTATAAGTTCTTTATATAGGTGTTTACTTCAAACTTTAAATATAAGTTTTTGGTCATCAACCACATCATATGTGACAAGGTTTACAACTCTAGCACAAAAATTATCAGAATTACCTCCCTTGAACTTAGAATTTTTATGAAAAAAATGTTGTCTTTTTTAAAAAACTTCTTTATGTCTTAATGTATCTACTTCAAACTTCATATATATGTTTCTTATTATCACTCAACATTTTGAGAAGGTTAAATACTCTAGCAAGACTATTTTCAGAAGTATTCCCCCTTGAACTTAGATATTTTTTCGAGAAATTTGGTATTTTTTACTCCAACTTCTTCATTCCTTTAAACTTAAAGTGAAACTCACATCATATATGACACTGTTAATAAATCTAGCATCTTCATTCAAGAGTTGTCTTCTCTTTAAGAAGTTTGCATTAAAATATGTTATATTTTGGATGTTTGAAAAAATAACTTTAAAGTCTCTAATCCAGTCTGTCTGTATGGGTGTCTGTCTGTCTGTTCATAAAAACTGTTTCCTAAGATCAATTTTAAAGATTTTTTCCAACAAATTTACTTAAAAAAGAGAAAAGTTGAAACATTAGTTATTCTTATTCATCCTAAGAAAATTGGACCTTTTGATTATCTGTTGTATAAACATAATTTCCTTACTAGGCAGGGAAACTTAATACATTACTGTGATATAGACAAACTAAGAACTCAAAAGGTTTAAGTTCATTCATGTCTTTCATTCATTCAATAGTATAATTGAATGGCCAATGGCCCATCAGAATGTTGCTGGGGTTCTAACCGGTAGGGGACTTATGGATTGCTTGCAATACTATGATAATTGCTTGTTTTACCTGTTGTTTTTTTTAGCTCACCTGTCACATAGTGACAGGGAGAGCTTTTGTGATCGCTTTTCGTCCGGCGTCCGTCCGTCCATCCGTCGTCCGTCCGTAAACTTTTACTTTAAATGACATCTCCTCATAAACCACTAAGCCAATTTCATCCAAACTTCACAGGAATGTTCCTTTGGTGGTCACCTTTGAAAATTGTTCAAAGAATTTAATTCCATGCAGAACTCTGGTTGCCATGGCAACCGAAAGAAAAAACTTTAAATATCTTCTTTAAAAAAACCCAAAGAGCTAGAGCTTAGATATTTGGCATGAAACATCTTCTAGTAAGTGTCTACCAAGGTTGTTCAAATAAAAGCCCTGGTGTCAAAATTGGCACCGCCCCGGGGGTCATTGATTTTCCCTATATGCATATAGTAAAAACTTAAAAAAATCTTCTTTTAAATATCCCATATAGCTAGAGCTAAGATATTTAGCATGAAAACATCTTCTAAATAAGTGTCTACCAAGTTTGTTCAAATAAAAGCCTGGGGTCAAAATTGGCCCGCCCAGGGGGTCATTGATTTTCCTTATATGCATATAGTAAAAACTTAAAAAATCTTCTTTTAAAGAACCCTAAGAGCTAGAGCTCAGATATTTAGCATGAAACATGTGCTAATGGGTGTCTACAAAGTTTGTTCAAATAAAAGCCCTGGGGTCAAAATTGGCCCGGCCCTGGGGGTCATTGATTTTCCTTATATGTGTATGGCAAAATTTTTTAAAAATCTCTTCTTTGAAAAAACCCAAATAGCTATAGTTTAGATATTAAGCATGAAACATCTTCTAGTAAGTGTCTACAAAGTTTGTTCAAATAACAGCCCTGGAGCCCCAGAGGTGTCATTGTTTTTAACTATATGTGTATAGTAAAAACTTTAAAAAATCTTCTTTTAAAAAACCCATTGAGCTAGAGGTTAGATTGCAGGAAACATCTTTTTGTGGGTGTCTACCAAGTTTGTTAAAATAAAAGCCCTTGGGTTAAAATTGGCCCTGCCAAAGGGGGGGGGGGGTGTCATTGTTTTTCATTATATGTGTGTAGTAAAAACTTAACATCGTGAAACATCTTCTAATGAGGGTCGTCCAAGTTTGTTTAAATAAAAGCCCTGGGGTTTAAACTAGCCCCGCTCCGGGGGCCTAAATACAAGTGAGCGACCTCAGGGCCATCATGGCCCTCTTGTTTTTGTTGTTGTTGTTTTTGTCTTGGCATTAAAGGCACATTATGCTTCAGAAATGAATAGAAAACTTTCCTTCTATAGATAAAGCAAAAAGATTTTAACCAGGTTTTCAACGGTAGGTTATTGTAATGTCGAAATTGGCAGGCGGGCGTCAACTTTTGGGCATCCGCTCAATAACTTTAGTTTGCTTTGGCCTATTGACACCAAACTTGGTGTGTAGGTAGCATATATCAAGAGGCAACTTGGGATTGCTACCCATGTGTCTGTGATCAAGGTCAAGGTCACTGTTACTAAAAAATAGAAATTCAGTTTCCGCTCAATAACTTGAGTTTGCTTTGGCTTATTGACACCTAATTTGGCATGTAGGTAGCTTATATCAAGAGGCAGTATGGGATTGCTACCCAGGTGTCTGTGATCAAGGTCAAGATACTGTTACTAAAAATAGAAATTCAGTTTCCGCTCAATAACTTGAGTTTACTTTGACCTATTGACACCAAACTTGGTGTATAGATAGCTTATATCAAGAGGCAGCATGGGATTGCTAACCCAGGTGTCTGTCATCAAGGAAAATGTAGTCAGTTTTCATGTAATAACTTGAGTTTACCATGACCTTTTGACACCAAACTTGCTGTGTGGCAGCTTTGGATTGCCACTTAGATATCTGGGAGCAAGGTCTTGAAGGCTATTTTCTTACAATAGAATTTTCAGCTTTTACTCGATAACTTCAGTGCATTTTGACCTATTGATTGCTGTAACATCAAAACTTGGTCGTTGAAAACCTGGTTTTCATCGCATTGCGGTGTTTCTTGTTCATATAAAATTGTTTGGTTTTTTATCATGTTAGATGCTTGTCACCTGAAAATAGTTGTACTGAAGATGAAATTATTTGTCTTGAAAAGTAGCAAAATGTTAACAAAGTAATATTTTGAATTGCATACAAAAACTAAAACATTATAAATGTACTAACTGCCAAAAACACAGAAGCAAAAGTTGATTCATTGTAATTGGTCAATGAATAACTTTTTAGAAACTTTCAGAGCACATCAACAATTCAAAAAAAAACTTGTAATATTTGACATAAAGTGTTGGCTAAAGTATTAATTTTCTTTTACTCATTTTGTCATCTTCTAAATGTTGATTATTGAATTTTCCATGAAATAGTAGTTCATTAGGATTGTCACAGTCTTAATGAATACGACTATATGATTAGTATTTTCTGCTTAGAAATAGAAAATTATACCCATAGTCAAACATTTTAGAACATGATGGTTTCCATTTTACAATGTGAACTGTGTGAGCATTCTTTTTTATATGCCTGAAAGAATTTCGGGAATATTATGTTATACCCCCTGGCGTCCGTCCGTCTGTCTGTCTGTCTGTCTGTTCTCGTAACAATAGATGTCTTTGATTTCATTCATTCCGTTTCTCTTGTGGGGTTATTTTCTGCATTGTGGGGTTAAAAAGAACAAAAGAAATAACAAAAGAAAACCCCATAATGTAGCTCTGGTAAGAACATCCGTCCGTCCGTTAGCAATTTGGTTTCCGGAGCATAACTTAAGTTCCATTTGGCCTGAAACATTCAAACTTCATAGGATGATTTTCCATATTGGGTAGAGGACCCCTATTGATTTTGGGGTCACAAGGTCAAAGGTCAAGGTCACTATTACCTTAAAACTGAAAACAGTTTCCGGAACCTAACTAAAGTTCCATTTGGCCCACAGTGTTCAAACTGCACAGGATGATTGTCCATATTGGGTAGAAGACCCCTATTGATTTTGGGGTCACAAGGTCAAAGGTCAAGGTCACTATTACCTTAAAACTGAAAACAGTTTCGGAACGTAACTTAAGTTCCATTTGGTCCACAGTGTTCAAACTTCATAGGATGATTGTCCATATTGTGTAGGAGACCCTTATTCATTTTGGGGTCACACGGTCAAAGGTCAAGGTCACTATTACTTTTAAACTTACAACAGTTTCCAGAGCATAACTTAAGGTCTATTTGTCCCACAATATTCAAACTTCATAGGATGATTGTCCATATTGGGTAGAATACCTCTATTGATTTTGAGGTCACAATGTCAAAGGTCAAGGTCACTATTACTTTAAAATGAAAACAGTTTCCAGAACATAACTTAATTTCTATTTGGCCCATAGTGTTGAAACTTCATAGGATGATTGTCCATATTGGGTAAACACCCCTATTGATTTTGGGGTCACAAGGTCAAAGTTCAAGGTAGCTACTACCTCAAAACTAAAAAACAGTTTCCAGAGCATAAGTTCCATTTGGCCCACAATATTCAAACTTTATAGGAGGATTGCTATTTGAAGGAGGTAATACTTTATTTAATTTATGTAATGTCTTACAAATGCTTCATCCTTAGTAAAGGAAAAAAAACACTTTCGGGCATATAATGCTCCGCCTAGCGGTGCTCTTGTTGTCAACTGTTTTCAGAAATCAATGACATGCAGTAATGCGACACTCGATAAATGGTGTGCAAAATCATACCAAAACACTGTTTACATTGTAATAAGAAAAGCAGCTGATGTGACATCTGATGTTATAAGATTAGAAGTTTATCTGAAAGATGGTAAGTTGTCATTATAATCATATAGTATTTTCGTGTTTTCTATCAATACTATTTTAAATCTGTTGACACTGTGTTAGTGAATATAAATAATAATGCATAACATGTTAATAAAACTTGATTTGCTTCAATAATGACATAATTATTATATTAAAATGAAATGACATAAATCCGTAATCAGAACACTTCATTATCTCAAGTCCATCTCATTGTAGATTTCCCAAGCCCTGATTCGAACCTTCTTAAAGTTTTTTCCAACAATTGGTCTGTCTGCATTCTGTACATCTATCTAAAATAAAGGACAATTAAATAAATGTTTTCCAATGTAATTTAAATCCCTTTATCTTACGGAAGAGTGTAACGATACGCTCGCCTCACAAATTTATACGTATAACGGTACAGAGTCCATGATATGATAAGTATCACGATACAGATTGACTTAAGAAAATTGTCTGTAATCAATTTTTCCACCAATAATGCCACCAAAATGCCACCAAAACCCCACCCAAATCATGAAAATGGTGAAAAATTTGAGCAGGAGTGGACTGATGGTATATAATTTTCCAGTTAATTCCACCTTTTTATCCCCCGCCGATAGAATCGGGAGGGGGATATAGTTTTAGCGTTGTCCGTCCGTCCGTCCGAATTTCGTTTCCGGAGTAGTTCTCTGCAACTACTGGCTGGAATTCAACGAAACTTTATGGGAATCATCAATATCAAGAGGAGTTGCGCATATCGTCAGCTGGTTCAGGTCAGACCCTTTAACTCAGAGTTATGGCCCTTGATTAGTTATGTAGTATGCATATAGATTAAAAATCGTTTCCGCACTACTTCTCTGCAACTACTGGCTGGAATTCAATGAAACTTTATGGGAACCTTTAATACCAAGAGGAGATGCGCTTATCGTCGGCTTGTTCCGGTCAGACACTTTAACTCAGAGTTATGGCCCCTGATTAGTTATGCAGTATGCATATGGAGTAAAAATCGTTTCCGCTCTACTTCTCTGCAACTACTGGCTGGAATTCAACGAAACTTTATGGGAACCTTCAATACCAAAATGAGATGGGCATATCGTCGGCTTGTTTCCGTCAGACACTTTAACTCAGAGTTATTGCCCTTGATTAGTTATGCAGTATGCATATGGAGTAAAAATCGTTTCCGCGCTTCTTCTCTGCAACTACGGGCTGGAATTCAACGAAACTTTATGGGAATCTTCAATACCAAGAGGAGATGTGCATATCGTCGCCTTGTTCCAGTCAGACACTTAAACTCAGAGTTATGGCCCTTGATTAGTTATGCAGTATGCATATAGAGCAAAAATCTTTACCACGCTACTTCTCTGCAACTACGGGCTGGAATTCAATGAAACTTTATGGGAACCTTCAATACCAAGAGAAGATGCGCATATCATTGCCTTGTTGGGGTCAGACACTTGAACTCACAGTAATGGCCCTTGATTAGTTATGCAGTATCCATATAGAAAAATATTCCTTTCCTTGCTACTTCTCTGCAACTACTGGCTGGAATTCAATGAAACTTTATTGGAACCTTCAATACCAAGAGGACAAGCGCATATTGTCCCTTTGTTTGGGTCAGACATTTTAACTTAGAGTTATTACCCTTGATAACTTAGGCAGTATACAACCAGAGCAATAATCGTTTCCGTGCTACTTCTCTGTAACTACTGGCTGGAATTCAATGAAACTTTATGAAATCGTTTCCGTGCTACTGGTTGGAATTCAATGAAACGTTATGGGACACAAAGTGGAGATGTGCATATAGTCGCCTTGTTCCGGTCAGATACTTATAACTCAGATTTATGGCCCTTGATTAGTTATTTAGTATGCATGCATCTCATTGGCATTTCCAGATATTACTATTTAACACAAAGGAATGGCTCTGTTATTGCCCTGAATATTTATTAAGTTCAAAGAATATTACTGTTTATGCCATGATTAATATATAAATATAGCCTTATGTGTTAATAATAACCAGTACTCGGCGGGGGATATAAATTCAACGAATTTGCTTGTTTACACCAATGAGTAGAAAGTTGGTGGAGTATTTAGACAAACTTTCACCATTATTCCACCTTAGGGTGGCAAACTCATTTTCCACTAGATGCCACTTGTTTCCACTTATTGCCACCATTATGGTGGAAAGATGGTGGAGTATTTAGACAAATTTCCACCATTATGCCACCATTGAGTGGCAAACTCATTTTCCACTAAATGCCACTTATTTCCACCTTTTGCCACCATTAGGGTGTAAAGTTGGTGGCGTATTTAGACACTTTTCCACCATTTTGCCACCAGAAAGTGGCAAATTCAGTTTCCACTGAATACCTCCTATTTCACCCTTTCAGAAATTTTCCACCTTGTGGGTGGCAATAGCTGGAAACTTCTTGAAAGGTACCCTGTACCCTAAAAAAGAAACAAAACAAAATTTTAAAAATAATCCTTTTTATTGTCTCCATTGGAAAATTTTGTCACGAAAAATAACAAAAAATGAGTCCATTTAATTTCTTCAGTTTAGCTATTCCAGGATGGTATGAGGAGATGCCGAATCACCCTCAAGATTTCTGTTCTTGGGGTGGTAGACCACTTTTCCAGCACACAATCTAAAACAAAAAATATTATGAATGATTAATACAATAATTAAAAGAATTAGCTTACTTTTTAGCTCACCTGAGCATATGCTCAGGGTGAGCTATTAGGATCACTCTTCGTCCGTCGTCCGTAAGCTAGAGCTTAGATATTTAACATGAAACATCTTCTAGTGAGTATCTACCAAGTTTGTTCAAATAAAAGCCCTGGGGTCAAAATTGGCCCCGCCCCAGGGGGTCATTGATTTTCCCTATATGCATTTAGTAAAAACTTAAAAAATCTTCTTTTAAAGAACCCAAAAAGCTAGAGCTAAGAAATTTAGCATGAAACATCTTCTAATGGGTGTCTAACAAGTTTGTTCAAATAAAAGCCCTGGGGTCAAAATTGGTCCCGCCCCGGGGGTCATTGATTTTCCTTATATGTGTATAGTAAAAACTTAAAAATTCTTCTTTTAAAGAACCCAAAGAGCTAGAGCTAAGAAATTTAGCATGAAACATCTTCTAATGGGTGTCTAACAAGTTTGTTCAAATAAAAGCCCTGGGGTCAAAATTGGCCCGCCCCGGGGGTCATTGATTTTCCCTATATGCATATAGTAAAAACTTAAAAAAATCTTCTTTTAAAGAACCCAAACAGCTAGAGCTAAGGTATTAAGCATGAAACATGTTGTAATGGGTGTCTACCAAGTTTGTTCAAATAAGAGCCCTGGGGTCAAAATTGGCCCGCCCCGGGGGTCATTGATTTTCCTTATATGTGTATTATAAGCAAAAAGTTAAAAATCTTCTTTGAAAAAAAACCAAATAGCTAGAGTTTAGATACTAAGCATGGAACATCTTCTAGTGAGTGTCTACCAAGTTTGTTCAAATAAAAGCCTTGGGGTCAAAATTGGCACTGCCCCGGGGGTCATTCATTTTCCTTATATGTGTAAAACAAAAACTTAAAAAATATTCTTTGGAAAAACTCAAATAGCTAGAGTTTAGATATTAAGCACGAAGCATCTTCTAGTGAGTGTCTACTAAGTTTGTTCAAATAAAAGCCCTGGGGTCAAAATTGGCCCCACCCAGGGGACATTGATTTTCCTTATATGTGTATAGCAAAAATTTCTTTGAAAAAACCCAAATAGCTAGAGTTTAGATATTAAGCATTAAACATCTTCTAGTAAGTGTCTACAAAGTTTGTTCAAATAAAAGCCCTAGGGTCAAAATTGGCCCCACCCTGGGGCTCATTGATTTTCCTTATATGTGTATAGCAAAAACTTAAAAATCTTCTTCGAAAAATCCAAATAGCTTGAGTTCAGATATTAAGCATGAAACATTTTCTAGTAAGTGTCTACAAAGATTGTTCAAATAAAAGCCCTTGGGTCCAAACTGGCCCTGCCCCAGGTGTGTCATTGTTTTTAACTATATGTGTAAAGAAAAAACTTGACCAGCTAGACCTTAGATGTTTAGCATGAAACATCTTCTAATGGGTGTCTACCAAGTTTGTTCAAATAAAAGCCCTGGGGTTTAAACTGGTCCCGCTCCGGGGGCCTTTATACAGGTGAGCGACTTCAGGGCCATCATGGCCCTCTTGTTTATATGACTTTTGGATATGTCTATATTCAAGTTGAGTGCATAGATATGGTTAAAGCACTTTGACAAAACAGCGTTGCAGACATGGAAGAAGTATATTCAGACTTTTTTAATTTACTCAAAGGCAGAAAATATACCCAAAATCAAAAATGATATTTTAATTCAGTTCATTTGTTACCTTTCAAAACTTCAGTTTTGCCTTGTCTGCAAGAGCAGGTCTGGCATCAAACTCTCTGTTCCCTTTCCTCATACCAAACAATGAGCAGCGTTTAATCTCTTCTACATGTATATTGAAAAACATTCTGAAGAGCCTTGTTGCCTTAGGTGAGGCATAGTGCTGCAGTTCTTTCATCACTTGGTCCTAAAATATGATTATCAATATCCAAAAAGTAAACACAGAAAATGAAACACTTTTTTTAAAATCTTGAGAATATGTATACAACTCTAATTTTTTTAAAAATGAAATCTAAATGCAAATTAAAGTGTCATAAAGAGTTCAAATAAAAGTAGGTTTGTAAATAGTGACTAATAGCTATATTTATTAAGAACTGGTAAGTGTCTTCTTGGGTACTATGACACTTCTTTCCTATGAATTCTAAAATCACTTTGAATTAACTGAGAAACGAAGCAAGATACCTTTTTAAAGACCGAGTGAATTACTCCAGGCTGCTCCTCATTGCTTTGTGACTGAAATTGAATAATTTTTATTAAATGCTGTTTCTGTTATGAGCTGCCATTCTCCTAACAGCTTCTTACTTTAGGCTATATATCTACTGCACTATGAAAGCTGGATTACAACAATGAAGGAATGAAACTTACAAATAAAATGGTTAATAATGATCTGCTTCCCATGTGACACTCATGGATTAAATGTTTATAGCATGCAAAGTGTAGTATTAATAGGTACCTGGTTATCTATAGTTTGATTGATGTAATAATTTGTACATAATAAATATTTATAATATTGTACTTACCCCGTAAAATTCCTAATAAACGCCCCTCCCCTAATAATGGCCCCAGGCCTTTTGGTATGGAAAACAATCTACTCATCAGTGCTGAACTCATAATTAAAGCCATAATTTTATTCAAATCATTCAGAATCCATTTTATTTTATAGTAAACACAAATATGTATAATATGAACTTTAAAACCTTAATACTTTTTAATGTTATTACCAACACTTCCTAACATTAAATGTATTTACAGTGATTTTTGGATTTAGGAAAAACTGTGTTGTAATAATAGCCCCCCTTTTGGAAAATGTTTAGCCCCTGGGGGGCGTTAAATAGGAATTTTACGGTACTGATTAATTTCTATCATTTTTTTCTCAAACTTAAAATTTCTAACATTTTATATTTAAGAAAAAATAAAGATATTTCTACATTCTTTATATGTACATGCAACTTTCTGTTTTAGTCAAGTTAAAAGAAAATCGAATTTTAAACTTTATACTTTTAAACTTTTAAACTTTTATACAATGCTACCTTATATTTTTATTGTTTAAAAACTTAACTGTTTCTACATAAATGTATGTAAAAGTTGTTTACCTCACTCACTGAAACTTTGACTTGGAATGATTCTGCTGTTTATCTTGTCCCATGTTATAATCTACACATTCACACTTCAGTTAAAACTTCTCTTTTCTATTTACCACACTACTAAGACTTCAAATGTTTTCTTTGAGAAATCAGAAATATGCACCTGTACATTTTAAACAAAATAATATCTCCAGAATTGATACAATATCAATCATTTCCTTTGTGTTTGCACAGCTTACTGACCTCGATTCATTTGAATTCAAACTTTACAACTGTATAACTCAGGATAGTTCCAATTCATAATTGAAATTGTGATTCCGTTTCGCAGGGATTATCCAAAAAACCATAGTACCCATCATTTTATTTTTTTACATTCATTTGAATGTAAACTATGTCTAATACCTAAATAGATTGAGTAGAAATAGGTTTTTGAAAGATAATTTAGCATGCTATTTAAACACAGATTTTACATAATTATAACATGTATAATGTTACCTTTCCCAAAATAATGAAACTGAACAGTCTGGTCAGCATGAGTAAACTATTAACCCCCATGCTAGATCATTAGATAAGAGGGAAGTAGTTTTATCAGATCTGTATTGTATGTGTGTGTTGTTAAATCTTACTGGTTATACTGATTATAAGAAATTATCAGGCATTATGAGCTATTTATTTTTCACATCATAAGTTTTACAATAGATTTAAAGCCTCTGAAAGACAATTACTGAATTGTGTATGACTTATTTTCATACACACACTTGGTAGATTGAGGTATAATGTATGCTTATTTAACAGAAAGCACAGTGCTTCATTATCTTGAAGGCTGTACTATTGTATATGTATATTTATTAAATAGCATTTACATATTATTGTTAACAAGTTTGATTCATGTTTTAATTTCAAAGTAATACATAACTCTCTCCTGCAAAGTTATGGGTTAATTGCCCTTTTTAAGTTTTTGCCTGTAAAGCATTGCACAAAAATGTTAGAGACAATAATTTTAAACTCCACATATAAGTAGATCTTATTTATGCAATGCCTAGGAACCATTACTCTTTATTGTATGATTTAGGGTTTTTTGCCCTTTTTGTACTTCTCCATATTTTTGTCTTGATCATTTAAACTTAAAAAGTATTGGAGATATTAATTTGAAACTTCACAGATATATAGATCTTTTTGGGTAATGTGCAATGTTTAAGAACCATAACTCTTTTGTATACTTTTGAAGTTATTGCCCTTTTCATTTTTCACTTAAATCATTGTTAGCATAATATGAAAAGTGTATTATAAAGTACTGATATCAGTTTTAAACTAATATTAAATAGACAAATCTCATTCAGAAGAAAAGACCAAAGTCAAACTTAATTTATTCATGATTGTCATTAAATATTATAGAAGTTGCAACAAACTTTATGCAGAAAAATGCATATTCTGGGCATGGAAGAACATTTTAAGTTTTTAATGTACAGATTCCAAATAAAAACATTAAGTACACTTTTACAGTCCTAATTATATTTTACAGGCATAAATTGGCATTTTTGACTCAGTTTACAACACCTCAAAATTTTAAGTCAAATTTGTGACGGTGTGTATAAATCATATGTTCATGCTATTCTTAAGTATTGCATATAAAATATAAAAGATTTTTAAGAAATATGAGTTTCTGATAAATTTTCTAACTGTTCAACTTTAATAATATTTTTGATAAAAAGTTCACTTGATGCTTTGGTAGAGTAAAAACTACAAACAGATTTATTTCAGTTTAGAGTTTTGACTTAAATAAATTTTAAACCCTCCAATGCACAATGATTTCTCAGTTTTGTCCCACTAATTTGCCACCCAGAAAATAGTTAGAGTTTCACTTTTTCACTAAATGCTACTCATTTTCCACCTTCAAAATAAACTGAGTTTCATTTTTCACCAATTTCCACCCTTTCGCCACCATGAAAAAAGTCTATGTTCAAATTTTTCCACTTAATACCACCTAAATGCCAACAAAGGATAGTGGCATTTGGTGGTAAGTTTGCCACTACAGTGTAAATAGAGTGGAATTTTGTCATTTTCCAGCTAATGCCACCTTTTTTGCACTTAAAGCAACCCTTTTCGGTAGAAATAGCTTGCAAGAAGTGGCAAGTCTAGGGACGGGCTGAATATAACAAAGACTTATATAGAAATTCTGTTATAAAATTTAGCTCTAGTTGGTTGTCGCATTGTTAAACATGGACAATAGATACTATTAACGTTGCTAGTTGACAGGACCTGGTTAAATTTTACATTAGTTTTCAGCATTTTACACAAATACCTAATATATCCTCAGTTAAGCCATTTTTGGCCAAAAGTCCTATCTTGTTCTGTTATTATGATATTTATTTTCAGCACCAAGTCACGGACCAAGAAATGCTTTGATAATATTTGGCAGTTTTGTTGTAATGTCATTGATTTTAGTGGCTTCTCAAGTGTGCAGACGTCAGAGCAGACAGGGACATCTTGAAAGTAAATATGATGCAGACACAGGAGCAATTACTATGCAGACAGGTGCTTTAAATCTATTCATTTAAGTATTTTGAGCTAAATGTTGTAAGTGGTTCTACTCAAGTACCTGCTTAATTGTGTTTGAAATAATGTATATTGTACAACTCACAACTGAGTTCTGCCTGCCACAGTAAATCAAGCATGTCACTATATTATTTCATTGCATCTTTTTCAGTGAATTCCCAATGTAATCAAATGTAACATGTATATTTTTAAAGTCAACCATTTTGTCAAGTAAAGTGCCACACTTTAAATTAGGTTTTTTTTGTACCATCCCATTTATTTCCTATAACCTTTGGGTTATAACTTTAAAACTTTGTATACTAATTTGTGACCATCATCCCAATTTCTAGGCAAGAGGTCAATTGTGTCTGTCTTGGATTTTGAAAAATTATGCTCCTTTTTTGCAACTAAGAACTTTGGTTAAGTTTTTTTACACCACTTCACATATTTCCTATACCCTTTGAGGTATTGCTTTGAATGTGTATTCTTGTTGGTGACCAGTATCTACACGTCCACCAAAGATGACATAACTCTGACAAAATTATGCCCCTTTTTAGCTCACCTGACCACGAAGTGGTCAAGGTGAGGTATAGTGATGGGGCTATGTCCGGCGTCCGTCGTCGTGCGAAGTGCGTCGTGCTTCGTCAACAATTGGGTTGTTAACAGTCTAGCAGTCACAGTTTTGATTGGATCATTGTCAAACTTTGTCAGAACGTTTGTCTCAATAAAATACAGATCAAGTTCGAAGATTGGTCATCTCCCGTCAATAACTAGGTCAGAGGAGCTAAAAATATAAAAAGCTTGTTAACACTCTAGCGGCTGCAGTTTTGACCCAGATATTCTGGAAATTTGTCAGGAAAGTTGTTTTGGTGATTTCTAGGTCAAGTTAGAAGATGGGTCATCTCCGGTCAAAAACTAGGTCACAGGAGCTAAAAATAGAAAACGCTTGTTAACACTCTAGTGGCTGCAGTTTTGTTCCAAATATTCTGTAAATTTGTCAGGAAGGTTGTTTTAATGATTTCTAGATCAACTTTGAAGATGGGTTATCGCCTGTCAAAAACTAGGTCACAGGAGCTAAAAATAGAAAAAGCTTGTTAACACTCTAGTGGCTGCAGTTTTGATCCAAATATTTTGGAAATTTGTCAGGAAGGTTGTTTTAATGATTTCTAGGTAAAGTTTGAAGATGGGTTATCCCCAGTCAAAAACTAGGTCACAGGAGCTAAAAATAGAAAACGCTTGTTAACACTTTAGTGGCTGCAGTTTTGAACCAAATATTCTCGAAATTTGTCAATAAGTTTTTTTTGATGATTTCTAGCTAGTTCAAGTTCGAAGATTGGTCATCTCCAGTCAAAAACTTGGTCACAGGAGCTAAAAATAGAAAAAGTTTGTTAATATTCTAGTAGCTGCAGTTTTGATCCAAATATTCTGGAAATTTGTCAGGAAAGTTGTTTTGATAATTTCTAGATCAAGTGCGAAGATGGGTTATTCCGGTCAAAAACTAGGTCACAGGAGCTAATAATAGAAAACGCTTGTTATCACTCTAGTGGCTGCAGTTTTGATCCAAATATAATTTGTCAGGAAGGTTGTTCTAATGATTTCGAGGTCAAAATCGAAGATGGGTTATCTCCGGTCAAAAACTAGGTCACAGGAGCTAAAAATAGAAGCTTGTTAACACTCTTATAGTGGCTGCAGTTTTGATACAAATATTCTGGAAATTTATCAGGAAGGTTGTTGTAATGATTTCTAGGTCAAAATTGAAGATGGGTTATCTCCGGTCAAAAACTAGGTCACAGGAGCTTAGAATAGAAGAGCTTGTTAACACTCTAGTGGCTGCAGTTTTGATACAAATATTCTGGAAATTTGTCAGGAAGGTTGTTGTGATGATTTCTAGGTCAAGTTAAAAGATGGGTGAATTCTAGTCAAAAACTAGGTCACAGGAGCTAAAAAGAGAAAAAGCTTGTTAACACTCTTGTGGCTGCAGTTTTGATCCAAATATTCTGAAAAATTGTCAGGAAGATTGATTCGATAATGTCTAAGTCAAGTTCGAAGATGGGTCATCTCCGGTCAAAAACTAGGTCAGAGGAGCTAATAATAGAAAAAAGCTTGTTAACACTCTAGTGGCTGCAGTTTTGGTTCAAATATTCTGGAAATTTGTCAGGAAGGTTTTTTTTGAAAATTTCTAGGTCAAGTTCGAAGATGGGTCATATCTGGTCAAAAACTAGGTCACAGGAGCTAAAAATAGAAAAAGCTTGTTAACACTAGTGGCTGCAGTTTTGATACAACTATTCTGGAAGTTTGTCAGGAAGGTTGTTTTGGTGATTTCTAGGTCAGGTTTGAATATGGGTCGTCTCCAGTCAAAAATTAGGTCACATTGCCAAAATATGGAAAACCTTTTTAACACACTAGAGGTCACATACATTTTCCACTCAATTGTCATCAAACTTGGCCAGGATGCTAGTGTACGACATTGTTTGGATACGGTTGATGGGTCAGGGGAGCGATCCAGGGCCATCATGGCCCTCTTGTATTTATTCAAAATTAACAAAACACATCTAAAGCCAGGCTGTTATGAAACAGGCGTGTATCATTGAGAAATTATTAACAGGCTTACAGCATAAAACTTAACATATTTAGATTTGTTACATTTCCGCCGCCATATTTCACAGGAAAGATATGTTTTTGTTTGATCAACAGTCTGTTTGAAATTGTTGGATGAACAGTATGTGCTCAAAGAATATTTGTTAAATCTAGGTGAAAGACAAACGGATGGCGATGATGATACTATAGAAGGTGGATTAACAGAAAATTCTGACCTTGTTTCAATGGAAACAACAGTTGAAAACGTCATGGAAAAGTGCGAGACATGTAAGTTTAAATGATATCCATCTTATGTCTTGAATATTTATCTCAAGTAATAAACACGATTTTGGATTTTCATGGGTAATCGGGGTCATATTTGTTAAGCCGTTTATGTTTTATAACAAATATACATTTCATTATGTTTATGACGAAACATTATTCAATGGCACTTGAATAGTTCTTTGAACACTATATAAAATCATATTGTTTCACATAGTACTCATCAGTTATAAATCACTTTCGACCCAATACACACTATTATGGGTAAAATACGGTAATCGGTGACAAAATTATGTAGTTTCTCGTGTCCTTCAATTTTGAGAAAATATACTGTGGCGTCAACGTTACACTTATCATCGTTGATTTTTAGTTCATGATACAATTTTCATATTGCACAATTCTCAGATTCTTATGTATCTGATTTTTACTTTCACCAATATCAAAGTTAGTTAAATTATAATACACATTTTTTGTATAGTTTAAATTAATGGGGCATCTAATAAATGAATAGTTCTTGCATTCGCATACTTTATTCGGAAACACTTTTTGAATCATTTTTAGCTTGACTATTCGCAGAATAATCGAGCTAATGCAGTCACCCATTTGTCTGTGTCGGCGTCCCTGTGGTTAAGTTTTTGCGTGTAAGCTGGTATCTCCATAACTACTGAAGGGAATAGATTGAAACTTCACACACTTGTTCTCTGTGATTATCTTAGATGATTGGCATAAGTCCCATAACTCTGATTTGCTTTTTTACATAATTATGCTCCTTTTTCAACTTAGAAATTCTTGGTTAAGTTTTTGTGTGTAAGCTGGTATCTCCATAACTCCTGAATGGAATGGATTGAAACTTCACACTCTTGTTGTCTGTGATTATTTTAGATGATTGGCAAAAGTCCCATAACTCTAATTTGCTTTTTTACATAATTATGCCCCTTTTTCGACTTTCGAAAAAGGGGCAAAATTATGTAAAAAGGCAAATTAGAGTTATCTCCATAACTACTGAAGGGGATGGATTGAAACTTCACACACTTGTTCTCTATGATTATCTAAGATGAATGGCATAAGTCCCATAACTCTGATTTGCTTTTTTGCATAATTATGCCCCTTTTTTGACTTAGAAGTTCTTGGTTAAGTTTTTGCGTGTAAGCTGGTATCTCCATAACTACTGAAGGAAATGGATTGAAACTGCACACTTTTGTTGTCTGTGATTATCTAAGATGATTGGCACAAGTTCCATAACTCTGATTTACTTTTTTGCATAATTACGCCCCTTTTTTGACTTAAAAATTCTAGGTAAATTTTTGCTTGTAAGCTGGTATCTCCATAACTTCTGAAGGGTTTGTACGGACAATTTTATGTATTCATATAGGTAAGCATTATTATACTCAATGAAACACCCTTGTGACAACTTATCGAATAGTCGAGCGTTAATAGTCGATATTTGACATATTATTTCTACAAATTTAGTTTGGATATAAATCACGCTAATATGACAGCAAAAACTCACTGTACTATAAAACAATTTTCTCATTACTAATATGCAATATAGCAATTTTACACACTAATTTGTTTTATTGACAACAATCGGGGACATTATATTTTTCGTATTATTGGTGCTAATCGGGAACAATTTTATTTCGTATTCATGTTTAATTTATGTGGACAAAATTCAACTGGTGCTAGGCAATTATGAAACAAGCGTGTATCATTGAGAAATAAATTTGTTCATTAAACGTAACAATTTGAGATTCGTTTTTTTTTCCGCAGCCATAAATTCATTGGAAAGATATGTTTTTATTTGATGAACAGTCTATGTTTGAAATTGTTTGATGAACAGTATATGCTCAAAGAATATTTGTTAAATCTAGGTGACAGACAAACGGACGGCAATGATGATGAAACTATTAAAGGCAGAATAACAGAAAATTCTGACATTGTTTCAATGGATACAACAGATGAAAACGTCATGGAAAAGAGCGAGCCATGTAAGTTTAAATGATATCCAACTTATGTTTTTAAAATGTTGAAACTTTTTTTTCAAGTTATACACACCATTTTGGATTTTTTTAGCTAATCGGGGACAAATTTATTTATTTCTCCTGTATAATCAATTTTGAGAAATGCATTTATCAATGTGACAATAACAAAACATCTATGCATCGTATTTAATAGTTAACAGGCGTACAGCATGAAAACATTTTTAATTTGATTGTATTACCCGTATTAAATTCATCAAAACAAGTATTACACTCAGTTGTGATTTTGTACAGGTAATCGGGGAATATAATACATTTTACGTATAGTTGCAGTGGACTGATTATGTCTAGAAGTCTGGCTAAGCATGACAAAACATGCGATTATTATAATAACAACTTTCTGTATTGTAAAACAATTTCTAATTAATCAACACCTAAACTACTATTCGATGTAGCAATCTTTTTTACAAGTTGCACAAGTTGGGGACATTCTTTTTCATATATTATCAATGTGGTCACATTTAACGATATACATGTATGTATGTGACGATGAAATAGCTCTTTTTTGAAACATTTTTATAGTTGACATCTAAACACAAGGTTACTTATAACTGACAATAATATCGAACATTCATAGGACACAATTATGTAGGTTTTCACCGATCTATATAATGCTCTCACTGTGGATATGATTAAGCACTCTTCAATGTCCGGACGTGAAATAGTTCCTATAACATAAAACATAAAGTATACATAATCTCTTTTCTAACCGTAAGTTAACACATAGTTTCAAAACTATATCAATTGATACACAGCAATTTCGATTAATTCTGGTTATCATGTTTAATCAATGTTGAAAAATCTAGTTCGAGACTATTTTAAAGCACGCGTGTATCATAGATAAAATCTTAATAGGCTTTATGGTAATTAGGGTTTTTATGCCCCCACAAAGTGGGGGGCATATAGCGTTGCACTTACGTCTGTCCGTCCATACGTCCCGAAATCTTGTTAAAACAACTCTTAAACCGGATGGCAGATTTTGCTTAAACTTCCAGGGATGAACCTTAATTTATAGATGGTAGTAAAGAGAGGAATTTTTGCTGCGACCAAATTTAACAGAATTATGGCCCTTTGTTGATTTTTTCACTTTATACAATATAGGAATTTTGTGAAGGCAACTCCTCTTAAACCGGATTGCAGATTTTGCTTAAACTTCGAGGGATGAACAACCTTAATGTGTAGATGGTAGTTTAGGAAGGAATTTTTGCTGCGACCAAATTTAACAGAATTATGGCCTTGTGTTGATGTTTTCACTATATACCATATAGGCAACCCCTCTTAAACCAGATGGCAGATTTTGCTTAACCTTCCAGGGATGAACAACCTTAATGTGTAGATGGCAGTAAAGGAAGGAATTTTCGCTGCGACCAAATTTAACAGAATTATGGCCCTTTGTTCATTTTTTCACTATATACAATATATATGTTGTCAGTGGGGGCATCCTTGTCCTTTGGACACAGTTCTAGTTATCTCATCATTTGTTAGAAAATACGGGTAATAAACATTGTTTTAATTACTGAGGTCACTGGTGATATATTGATATTTCATATGCTTTATCAAGGTGACCGAGCGGTTAATGCCGTGTTCGGTCATTTTTAAAGATCTTGAGGCATACAGTACATAAATATATAAGAGAAGCAAAATACAAAACTACGCCCGTCGAATGATTTATTAAAATGAAACCGTTTTTTATATAGATCTAGTTTGTTCATTTGATGTATTATATTGAAATGGTTTTGACTGATATATGAAGAATATTTTAAATATAACACCTATCCTAATTTATCGTGATACACAGAATACGATCATTGAAAAAGTGATTGAATAAAGAAAGTGAATAATTTGATAAAAAGATATTGTTATATTGTTCTTGACAAAATGATAAAGTGTATCTTTCTTGTATATTTAAGGTGCTCACGATTCAACCATCACTGGACATTTGGAAACAATAACCGTCGAGAGACAGAGGAAAGGTTTACAATTAGCTTATTTATATTTCCATATTAATTTTGAATCGAAAAAAGTCTTTAAAATTATATTTGTATATTCAAATGTATTAAAATTACATTCTGCTATGTTTCTTTTTATTCATATCTATGTTCGACTGGGCATTTCACAGTTTATAGATTAGCATTTTCGTGATTTTCGTGCAACAACATTTATAACGAGTAGATGGCATTGTTTTTCTTGACATGCATTTTAATATGCTGTCAAAAACTCCTCCTGTTGTAAATCAAGTCAATTCAAAAGATTTCTTCAGAAAATAAAGGCCACCGGCCCAAAATACATGTCATACAAAATATGATATTTAACATTATAAGGTTGTGTCTTTTACAAGTTTTGACAATCATTACATTTAAATGCTACTGTGCTATAGATATCATGAGGTGGTAAATATAAGTAGAGATTTTCTAAATTATAAAAATATCATTTGATGAAAGTAATTCATAAAAGTTATGTAATTCATTTCCGGAATTATACCAGTTTAGTAAATAGGTATTTCTAATTTCTAAATGTTTTTTTTTTCAATGAAAAAAAGCATGATATTCACAGTCAATATGATAAGTTAAATGATTTTCAAGACAAAAGTTGCAAAAGCGTTCTTGAAAAGGTATATCTAAATGCCTACCGATTTTAACATTAAGTTTGTGATTTGAACATCGAATTTAGCATATGCCTTCTTATGTTTTACAGGGATTTCTATTAGAAGATACCGTTCTACATTTAATAAGCTTTTAAAATAACAATAATGGTGACATCTACTGGCATTGTTAATATTATCATGCCAATTTTGAGTATAACAATCTATTATGCGTTGTTTGAAAATGCTAACAAAAATATTCACATCTCCTATTTCTTGAGAAATCTAAATGTAACCAAATCCGTAACTATACAAAAGTATTTGTATTTTGCTAGCCCAACAAGTTCTTCCAGCTTCATCTAGTGATTTTAACATTAAATAACATTGTTTTGGGTAACGGCATGGTGGCATAACTAATAGCTTACACCAATAACGGATGCAATTTGTATAATAAGTAATACAAAGTGGGAGTCTACCACATTCACCTAACACCATGCTTGTATCTGTATTTTTTCGAACATTTAATAAACCCTTACAGAACATATTATGAACAGATTCTATAGTTGTACTCAATTCATACCCCCAAATCTGTGACCAATAACAAAGAATAGGTTTGATTATTGTATCAAAGACGACCTCCATTTTGAAATACAATTATCTCTGTTTTGTCAAGATTAATTTTCATGCCTGTGTTCAAGCAAAATTGATCAATAACATTAAGTTGTTGTTGTAATTTAGTAGCAGTTTCAGCACAATTTGGAACATCATCTGCAAACATTAAACAAAGAATATCAGGAATATCATTTGTAATGAAAATGCCTGTGCCACATTTCTCTCTCAAAAGGGAAGATAACTCGTCTATAAATAATGTAAAAATTGTCGAACTTGTCTTATCACCTTGCCTTGTACCAATGTTACAGAGAAATAATTCAGTTATCATAACATTGTTAAACAAATCAGTTGTTTTAACACATGAAGTGAGATGAAATACATTGATTTCAGAACTCGAAGAAAATTTCCAAAAACGCCCTTCTTTTCAAGTGACAAGGAAAGTTTAGAATGATTCACTTTATCAAATGCTTTACGGAAATCAACATAGAGACAGTAAAAGCGGCCACCCTTTTTAGAAAGATATTTTTGAACCATTGCTTGTAGACAAAAAACATTATCGATAGCCGAGTAACCACGCCTAAATCCTGCCTGAGATTCATCGATTTTTCTTTGATTTTCGTCTCAATCGTATAATCTTTTATTTATAATACCTGTAAAGACTTTGTATAATGTAATTGTAATAGATATGCTGCGATAATTACCAGGATTATTACTTGGCCCTGATTTATGAATTGGTGTAATCATGCTATTTCTCCAAGATATTGGAAATTGCCCTGTTTCGAGTATTTTGTTAAATAGTGTATGCAGAATAGGCGCTATTTCATCTGATGTATGTTTATAAAATTCGGACGGAATGCCATATGGGCCACACTTTTATTATTAACTAATTTAGATATAGAATGTTTAATTTCTAGCAAAGTGAATGGTTCATTTAATGTCTGAGCTGTTTCATCGGCGGAATCATGTTCGTTTCCAACATAAGGATCAACAAACACTGACTTTTCGTCAAACAACAAATCTCTAAAATAATTGAACCATTCTCTACAAGAAATACTAGGATCAGACATAGTAACAGTTTTGCCTTTCTTCAATAATTTCCAAAAAGAACTTGGGTTGTTACTGTTTGATACTAGTTCTAATCGATTAAATTTCTGATATTCAGATATTCGTACATTACAATAGTCTTTAAACCTATTTCGTTTATCTTTATATATTCGTAAGTCAGACGAGGAATTACTTAATCTAAATGTGCGTAGCGCCGCGTATTTGTTTGCTTTTAAACTCATTACATGTGTTTATCCCACCACGGAGGTTGAGACGAATGAAAACAAAATTTCTTAAGCATGCATTTTCCAGCATCTTTATAAATAGAAGTAATACAGTCGACCGTAGAATTGACAGAGTTATCAATTGATTCCATTATCATCGTGTAGTGGTTATGAAACAGTTCCCTAAATTTTTGCAAGAAATCTGTACCTGCAGACACACGCCATTTATATCTATCAAAAGTGTTCAATTATATTTGAGCAGTTTGGCTATCTGCATTGTTAGATTTTTTATGAAACACAAAAGTACAACATATAGGAAAATGGTCAGATTCATCTCTAGTAAGAACCAAAAAATCTTTAATGTATGAAAATAGAGAAGAAGATGCTGTCATAAAATCAACAACACTCGATCCATCATTTGAGAAGCAAGTAAATTCACCGTTTTTATCGCTTGGAAGATGACCATTAAGTATATGAATATTAAAAATACAGCATAAATTTACTAAACATTTACCATAATTATTACCACGTATAGTATCCTTACTATGACGTACAATATCAAAAGTACTACCATTATAGTCAGTATTACCAAAAATAAAATTTAAATTATCACATGGGATAAAGTCTAAAAAAAAATTACATCGACTATTAAGGTCACCTGACAAAAATAACATGGTGTCCGGGTATTCATATGTAATTTGTTTAAAATGACTAAACATTTCATTGATACCGTTTTTATCGTCTGTATCATTATAGTAAGAACTTCCCTCAGGACTTATATATGTGAAATACATGATAATGTCAGTACAGTCAAATATTTTTGAAAAATTACAGTATAGTACAACACAGTTCTCAAAATGATCAAAGATTTGTCTTATTGATATACGTTTATGAATAGTACTTTTCACGAAAATACTAATTCCACCATTGTTCCTCAATGCATTATCTTTCATTATCCTAGCAAAGTCAAAATGCACATATTAATTTACAAAATTATCGAATTCTCCTTTGAATATACTCCATGTTTCACATGTACTTAAAATATCAAAAGTATTCAGAAACTTAAGAAAATCATCATTCTTTTTTAAATTCATTTAATCCACAAACGTTCCATGACCCACATTTTATTTCTATTTGTTTATATTGATGAGTAATATTTGGACTTCGGCCAAGCCCCTATTCATTGGATGTTATAAAGTCAGGTATGTCGTCACGGCTATCTGTGCGGTTCTCGATTGGCTGACTTCCATCATGTGACTCTTCGTTGGTATCGCGACTATTCCCGCGCTCGCTATCGTCCGATCGTTGAGTGGGGTTAATTTGATGATTCCCACGACCACGTGCTTCTGCGTTAAACATTGACCGTTTTCCTATGTAAACAATCTGGTCAGTTTGATCATCAAATTTGTAGATACTATCGTTAATGAACAGTTTATCAAATCGAACTGATGCTTAGTGACCCCTTTTACGTTCTTCAATCATACGTTCACCTAGCATTCTTCGATGTCTTTTCACTCTGTCGGAGTAATCTTGTTGAACAGAAAATCCAGAATTTAGGTCGGATTTACTATTGCTGGCACGGTTTAAAATTGCATGACAGTCCTTGAAGCGTACAAAACGTGCTATTATCGTACATGTACTAGAGTTATTTGATCTTATCCTGTGTGCACGGTCTATATCAATTTGGTCAGCTTCTACACCAAAATTGAGGGTTGTTCTAAAAAAATCACGCAATTAAGTCTCTGTTTCTGACCAATGTTATGAAAGCTCCCTGTGATCCCGTTAAATCTAAGATTATTCCTTCTGGAATTATTTTCGTAATAGTCTAATTTTATCTTTATCTTAGACAGTTCATTTTTGTAGAGCGATATTGTCTTGTTTTAACTGCTCATAGTTGGATTTTTACTCACTTACAGTGCTTAAAACAGAGTCTATCTTGGTATTAATGATATTAATGTCAACGGAAACACGGTTATTTTGGCATGTTAAATCGTGCTTCATATTTCTTAGATATTGAAAAATATCAGTACCTTCATTCTCTACGTGAGATAGAGTCCCGGGGTCCAGTTCATGTATTTCCCGTAGGTCATCAGCAGCTCCTTCCTGTTGCCGAGCGTGTATCTGCGTCAGGGCTGGGGACCTGATAAAAGCAGGTGACGCTTGCAACATTGGTGTTCGGGTCTGGCTAGAGGGAGACGCAAATTGAGAGATTGACATTTGACGTGTTACCACACCTCCCGGTGTTTCTGTCCCCGTGGGTCTGCTCGAACCTGGTCGTAAGGGTCGGTCAGTTCTACTGCTTTGTAGATTACCTCCAGTGTTGCTTAATCCTCGTGTTATAGTAGATTTGTACGGTGCGTTTACTTTAGGTGGTCCTGGGTTGCTCTCAATGTCACCACACGTGAGTAATATGGCGACCAAACACGTTGCCACGTGGAAAACAAGTCTGTGTTTAGCTAACTTACTGAAATTTAATCCATTTTTTCTCAGTCCTACTCTCTTAGGTTGAGAAAAACATCCGATTCTCATTCTTCACTGTTCAATATTAATTCCCATTGTTAATTTGTGGCTATATTTTAGTTTTTAAATTTTTACACAGCACGTGAAAAAATGCACGTCCATCTTGTAAATGTAGCTTTATAACTCTCTAGCAGTCGCATTTATTCCTCGATCATCATGAAACTTTGTCAGAATATCTGTCTCAATATCTCGGATGAGTTCGATCATGGGTGACCTCCATTGGAAAACTAGGTCAGAGGAGCTCAAAAAAGAAAAAGCTTGTTAACACTCTAGTGGCTGCAGTTTTCATCCAAATATTCTGGAGATTTGTCAGGAAGGTTGTTTTGATGATTTCTAGGTCATCTCAGATGAAAAACTAGGTCATTGGAGCTAAAAATAGAAAAACCTTTTTAACACTCTAGCGGTCACATTTTTGTCTCAATCATCATCAATTTTTGTCAGGGTGCTCGTCTAGATGATAGACCGGATGAGTTCGAGCATGGATTTTCTCGGATGAAAAACTATGTCACAGGAGCTAAAAATAGAAAAAAAACTTGTTAACACTGTAGGGGTCACATTTTTACTCAATCATTATCAAACTTGGTCAGAATACTTGTCTATGTAATTGCTCAGATGAGATCGAACATGGGTCATCTCGGATGAAAATCTAGATCACAGGAGCTAAAAATAGAAAAATCTTGTTAACACTCTGGTGGCTATTGTTTTGATCCAAGTATCCTGGAAATTGGTATGAAAGTTTGTTTTGATGATTTCTAGGTCAAGTTAAAATATGGGTCACCTGGGGGAAAAGTAGGTCACACTGCTAAAATATATAATTATAATCCTTGTTAACACTCTAGTGGTCACATTTTTGACTCGCCTGTCATGAAACTTGGTCAGAATGCTTGTTTAAGTAATTGTTCGGATGAGTTTGATGGGTGAGGTGAGCGATCTAGGGCCATCTTGGCCCTTTGTTTTAATCAGAAATATGGTTAAGCTTTCCATACCACCCTACTTAATTCCTGTATCCTATGTGAGGTATTGCTTTGAAGCTTTGTATATTTGTTATTTATCTCATCTCAACAGGCAAAACCTTACGAAAGTTAAGGGTGCTTTTTTACTGACAGTTCTTGTTTTTCTAGGAGGTTGAATGCATCAAGCTAGGATAATTAGAACATAAGATCATCCAGTCTCTACAAATTGTAAAAATTGTTGAAAATGGCCCAACCCTTGTGAACCTTTTGTATTCTTTTCAATTTTCTCAGATGCGCAATTACAGACCTTCTTAGGCCTCTTTTAAATGTCATTTTAATTGTTTTAAAACAACAACAGGTCACCAGCCAACTTCTCATGAGGATTATACCGGACAGACTGACCAACATATGGTTGGTTCCCATGAAAATGACAACGGAAATCCAACATCTGGTTTCAAGCCTCTGATGTCCGAAAATTGTGATAACTTATTTTACAAATATTTTATGGAGTCTCGTATTAGGCCTCATAGCTCAGTAGGGAGAGGGTCATTTCTGTAATCAAGTGGTTGCTTGTGAAATACTAGACAAGCAGCCATATATGGCCATAAATGTGTTGATATCAGTACAAAAACTAGATAAGCTAACAGGCTGTATGTTCACTAATGATAAAGTAAGCTGTTAACCTGCTGGAATGGAAAGTGATTAGTCTTCGCCGCAAGTATTGTAAGCCCAACCTGCATATCACGCTCATATATTATTTGTATCTTAGTTTATAACTTTATATATGATATTTTCTATATTGTTTGTATCTTTTTTATACTTTTATATATGATATTGACATCCCTACATGTATATCTTTTAATTGGCTATTCCAAATTAATAACAAGATACTTCCATGACGCACACTAAGCAGGTTAACCCCATGACGCACATTTAGCAGGTTGACACTTAACCTAATGAAATTCTTAAATGGACTTGTCCAATTACATTTTTGGACAGTACATTATCAATTTTAGGCATACCAAGATGAGAATTTGAAGTTGACCAGCCAAAAGTATAGAGCCTGGTCAGACTGCACGGATGTTCATGCTGGCCTGCCTCTATTCTGATGGCAAAGACTAATTACTTATGCCTTCAGCAAGGTAAAGGTTAAAAGTTAAGAATAAGTGGCTGCATGACCATGTGGTTAACGCATCAGACAAGTAACCTAAGGATTGCTGTCTGTGTAGGTTCAAACCCTGTCAGGGGCATGCCGTTGCTTCCTTGAACAAGAAACGTTTCATTCATTGCTTAGTACTGGTTGGTTCCAGGAAAAGATTCGAGAGTGTTACAATAAGCTTATAGCTTCCAACACAAACAAACTAAAATAAATTTATGTAAACTAAACTAAAAGTTACGAATACCCCCAAATTCTAGCAAAGATGTGATACACTTAGTATTGGAATTAAATTGAAATAAGTACATGTATGTTAGTGAAACTTTTGACTTTTTTTGGGTTAGTTTTAAAGAAATGTCTTAATATGAAAATTTTATTATTGGTTGTAAATAAAATTCACTTACTTTTCAAGTTTTGTGTTTAACGTTTTATTTCTTTCTTAAATTATACAGAATGTATCTGTGATAAGACGTATTGATTTCATTTAAAAATGAATCATAAAAAATTTATCATTGTTGTCTATCAAGATTTTATTACTTAAAGTAAAAATACTGCAAGTACATGTGTAGTATGATTCTATTTTATGTCCCCACATTGGGGATGCATGTTACACTTATGACATACCAGTGAGGCAAGCTCTTTAATCAGATATATCATTTTGTTTCAGGACCGCCTCAGAATAAGATAATAGTCCCACCTCCAGCTTATGATGTTGTTCTGAACAAGAAACAATGATGCTGGTCAGATTCAGGGAGGGACATTATGGCAACACTACTGTAACAGTATTTTATTCATTGTTGTTTTGATTGGTTGAAATGTAAGCAGACTACCTCAAATGTAAAAAAAAAGGATTGTGATATTACTATTGTACCTTTACAAAAAAAATACTACATACTTAGTATATGCAATTTGAACATTCGTATTCATCATTTCACTTTGAATTTCACCTTTAATTAGCTTAAAGAAGGGAAGATTATGACAGGCAAACTACTTTTGGTGCTAAATGGTAGTTATCAAGATATTTTTTTTAAATGTTTTTTGTCAAATTGTATTAAAAATGTCAGATTACCCAGATAAGTCAATCTTATTTCAGTATTTTGGAAAAAAAATCATCATTTCAAAGTTTTATTGAGTCTGATGAATAGCTTTTTATTTTGTTTCTTTCATTGAAGTGACATAATGCCCGTCCAAAAATCAAGTGTTAGTCAATTGCCATTATAAATTGAAGTGACATAATGCCCGTCCAAGAATCAACTGTTAGTCAATTACCATTATAAAAGCCAGTCTTTTGAAATATATACAATGTACACAATGTAGTCAATTAAGCTCAACTTGACAATGAAAATATGAGCATAATGTCAGTTGAATCTTTTAGTCAATTTCAATTTTTGTTATGAATAGTTTTATATTTAAATGACTGTTTAAAGTAGACAAAGTCTGATATAACATTATGATATAACATTGTATTCCTTTAAAATGCATTCTTATATGATATGTATTTTTGTTAAACCTCCTTTAAAAATGTGCGGGATACAATTATCTATGCACATGTTTAATGAAGGTTCCATTTTTAGCTCACCTGTCACAAAGTGACATGGTGAGCTTTTGTGATCACTTTTCGTCCGGCGTCCATCCGGCGTCCGTAAACTTTTACTTTAAACGACATCTCCTCATAAACCGCTAAGCCAATTTAATCCAAACTTCATAGGAATGGTCCATTGGTGGTCACCTTTAAAAATTGTTCAATGAAGTAAATGAAACATTGTCTGATGAGTTTGTTCAAATAAAAGCCCTGGGGTCAAAATTTGCTGGGCCCCGGGGGTCATTGATTTCATTTCGTTCCGTTGTTAACTTACCATACGGAAAATACATTAAGATTTAGTTCTCCTCAACCATTACAGTAACACGCAAAACTTAATGAGCGTCTAGATGATCATGATCAAACAGGAAATCAGTATCACAAGACGCTATTAACCTCAGTTAAATTTTCTGCGCCATTGCAGTCGGACACGTGTTTTATGTTCTCTTTTATTTTCATTTTAGTGAACTGTTTTGAGGATTTATTTGTTTTATTTTATAAGTATAATATGGCAGAAGCCGTGTTAGTTCAGGAAAAAGAGAAATTATCCGAAACTGATTCGGAAATTTCGTCTAAAATAGTACGAAAAAGAAAACATCGTCGAGGGGTAAGTCATCTGCTAAGTCTAAAGACGATGAAAATTCATTGGTTTTCTTAGAGAAGAAATTGAATGACAAGTTTGAGGAGCGTTTTTCTTCTTTTGACTCTAAGTTAGACATGTTGACAAATTTGTTGTCTAATAATATGTCTCGGGAAGGGAACGAGGACACTTACGTTGCTAAGAAAAGTTCCAAGTCTTTACGTACACAGGTCACAGACGAGGCAATTAGTGCTGCTCGCAGACCACTTCTATCCCTGGATAACAGCTTAAATAGAGATTATGGTATTGCACCTGATAGGGGTGTACATTCACAGATTGCGCCTGATAAGGGTGTACATTCACAGATGCATTCTGACGTTTTATCAGTGATAGTTTCTGAGTCGAAGAAACGTGACAGTGGTTTGTTTGATGATGAATCAGACAGACATTCAGTGGCTTTCTCGGGAGAGCAAGTTGATCCAGAGTCTAGCAGTCGTAACAGCCGTTTCAGTAAGTATGTGACTTTGACTGAAGAGGAAAGAAATAAATCACTTTTGAATATGTTTAGTGAAGATGCACAAACTAAAAAGTTAAAACCTGATGTAGGAATTATTTTAGATGACTCTCAAATGAACATTCTGTCTCAATCTTACAGAAGTGAAAATCCTGATAAATTAACAAGTTTTAAAGACAGTTACAGGTATGATTTTCCAGTACATGAAGTTGAAAGTTTTTTTCAAGTACCTAAATTAGATGATACAGTTGAATCATTGTTGATCAAAAAATATGGACACAAGGCAGCTTTTGGCCATGCTCCTTCTTTGTTTAGTAAATCTATGCGGTCAATGGAACGATTGGCATTTCATGGACAGATGGCTTCACGCATGGGTATGATTATGTGTTGTTATTCACAGCAGATTTTGTGTTCCCTGTTAGAATGTTTACAACAGAAAGATTGTAACTTGGATTTGGCTGTTCAAATGACAAGAGATGTTTTTGCCATTTCAACTAAAACTTTTGATCAGGTGGCTAGAACTGGCGCCTTTAATCATCTTTTGCGAAGAAATGCTGCTCTTCATGATACAGGCTTGAATGATTTGAAAGATTATTCTTCAACAGTTATCACTCTGCCTCTTACAGCGGAAGGGGTGTTTGGGTCTACTTTTGATCAGAAGTTGAAAGCCAAACAGGAGCGAAACAAGCAAATTAATTAAGGTATTACCAGATAGTATTTTTAGACAAGCTAAGTCACCTTCTGTTTTGTATAAGAGGAAGTTCACTCCCAACAATGAAAGGAGTTAACTAAGAAACCAAAATATTCAGAGAAGTCATCCAGTGGACCTCGTAACTATTCTTCATATTCAAGTGGGGGTTTCAAGATCCCACGTTTGGGCTATAACAAGCCAGTGCAGAAATCAAAGGTGAGTTCTTTTCGTAATACAAAATCATTTTCAGATAAAGCATGACGAGAAAGTAATGATGATGTTTCCCCATTTACCTGTTGGCGGCAGACTAAAATATTTCATAAATCAGTGGGAAATGATAACAGACGACAAATGGGTGTTGTCAACCATCAGAAATGGCCTCAAACTGGAATTTACTCAAATTCCAAATTTTACAGGTATAAGAATTACAAAGGCACCTCCAGATCAGATGAAACTTATTTACTCAGAGGTGGAAAACCTTTTAGAAAAAGGGGCTATAGAAAAAGTTCCATTGCAGGAAGTAATGGAAGGTTTCTACAGCACGTTTTTCCTTGTCCCAAAAAAGAATGGGGAAATGAGGCCAGTTATCAATTTAAAGCCGCTAAACAGATACATGGTGAAACAGCATTTCAAAATGGACACACTTTCGAAAGTTCTAAATTTAGTCAAAAAAGACCAATTCAGTTTCACTTTAGATCTAAAGGATGCTTATATGCACATTCCAATTCACAAGAACTACAAAAAGTACCTTCGTTTTTGCATAAACAATCAATGTTACCAATTCACAGCGTTATGTTTCGGTCCAAGCCAGGCTCCACGAGCATTCACAAAAGTAATATCAGTAGTTGCAGCATACTTACGAATGTTAAATGTCCACCTAGCCTCGTATCTAGACGATTGGCTAGTAGTGAAATCTCAAAAGATAGCACTGCTGTCAGATCAAAAGACGACAGTCAGTTTTGAAAATATTTTTTCCAGACAAATGTACCATTTGATGTAGGTTAAGACCACTAATCTTTGTGCAAAATTTTAGATCATTCGCGCAATTCGTTTTTCCAGAATAATTATTCAAATTGTAAAAGATGACCCAAAATGAAAAGCGTTTAAACGCTTCTCACTCAAATTGGGCTAAGAAAAACATAAAAAATACGATTTTCAATTTATTTCAAAGTATATTTCTTTACTATCTTTGCATTTATTTTTGTTTAAAGTGTCCCAGCTCATTTATGTAAGAAATTCAAATGTTATGTTTTAAGGCTTTTAAATCTGAGTGGAGTCCCTTGAAGTTATAATACCTTTTACGCTTTATGATATTTTGAACCATTTTGAATATTGTTTTATTCCAAGTTTTTCTGTATTAATGAAGAACTAATGTTTACATATATAAACATATCTTATCTGTACTATTTATGGAATTATTACTATTGTAGTTATCCAGTATTATATGTACTAAGAATTTTTTTTGAAGAACAATTTGATATTCCATTTTTTAGCACTGGTGCTATACATTCAGATTTTGATTCTCTTGTTTTACAACATATACTGTAGACTTGTATTTTTTCATAATATATGCATGAATAAATATAATCATTTAGAAGTGTTGTTTATTTTAATTTTTTTCTATCATGTTTTGATAGTACTGGCATTCAGTCTGTAAATTATTGGCCAGTTAATTCTTTACTCACCTGAACCACGAGATGGATTTGGACCAAACTTCGCATTTATCTTAGGTGATCGCTACAAAACGTTACTACTCCGGGACAAATGTGTAATCACAGATGATGAAAATATACTTCAATAAATGAAATCTTTAAAAAATCTTCTCAGAAAGTACAAAGCCCAGAACTAAGATATAATGTCCCGGAGGGTCAAAGTTGGCTCTGCTCTGAATGTCACTTAGTAGCAGTAAAATAGACTTGAAGAAAATATATTGAATGATTCTTCTTTTGTGAAACTACAATGCCTAGATTTTAGATATGACATTAAATAGTGGACATCTACGATAATTTCATAAATCTTGACAATACAGTCAAAAGGACATGTAGCTCCGCCCTGGGAATAACTAAGTACATGTATATACATATAGGTAACATGTCTTGTAAGCTTCTTTGAAATTACAATTTTCATAGCAAAAATATTTGACATATAGCATCACCTTGTAGCGTTTTACAAATGGTTTATAAATCGTGTCCTTTGAGTCAATATTTGCCCGCCCTGGAAGTCACTTAGTTCATATAAGCATATGGAAATCCTATTTAAGTTGTCTTGCGTGACACTACAGTGGTTATAGGTTTTGTCTTTAGCATGTGGTATTTCTAGTAAACCTGTACAAGTGGGGCGTACGTTGGATTCTTTCATACGAAGAAGCTATCCAGCTAGCTTTCGGAACGTCGGTGGTTCTACTTAGGTGTCCGTTCGTGCCTGAAATAATGCACGGTGGGGCACCTGAGGTCTTCCTCCACCAGTAAAGCTGGAAGGTCGCGATATGACCTATACCGTGTCGATGTGACGTAAAACTCAAAAACAAACAAACAAACCTCTACAAGAGTTAAAATAAAGCTTGTCATTAAGGAAGAAAACGACCCCGCTCTCTGAGTAATATAGTTATAAAGTGAACATGCCTTAGAACTCTTCCCGCACACTATTGCACTACCAAATATATGACATATGGTATCACCTTTTTGTCATTTAAAAAGTTAAACTGGAATGAATTTAAAGTGCCCATAGCATAGACTTGGAACAACTTGATACTAAATATGAATATTTGAAACTTTTAATAAGTGCTCATTCATTATGACATGCATGTTTTTGATAAATAATGAACAAATCTCTTCCTAAACCACATGGTGGAAGTTCGACCAAACTTCATGGAAATGATCCCTTGAAAGCTCTACGAATTATAGAAATAATCACAGTCCGATAGATAAGATGTCACATAAGCTACAATGGTCAGAGAGCTTGGATATTCTGCATGACGTGTTTTTTTTGTTTTTTTTTTTGTTTTTTTTTTTTTGTTTTTTTTTTTGGTCGTCTACAAAGTTTCATAAATCAATGCCCTTGAGGTTAGATTAAGCCCGCCCGTTAACAGGCTTTCATATATATATACTTACTAGTATGTTTCAGTCATACCCTGTGAAACTACAATGTCTAGAACAAAGTTTTTGTCTATTGATTAAATGATTCTGACCGTGATATATTTTTGTTTCAAAAATACGATATAGATTAGATTCTTAGATTAGATGTAAAAGAATAGATATAAATAATGACTATTCTTTGTTTATCAAGTAGTGCTGTGCAATTGTTTAAAACAATGACTACGGGTCAGTTGTAATTGCGAAAAAAACAATTATGTATAAATAATTTAAAGAACTACATGTACATATATGACTTTTTAAAAATTTTAAGAACAAAATGTAGAATGATGTAACGATTATGAAAACTTATTTCATAAAAATATATATGTGACAGGATGTTACAGTCATAACTTTCCTTATAAATGCATAAATATTTAATAAAACATTTCGGGTAAGTTTTTACTTTAATTTAGTATTAAACACTACTTGTTTAGTTATGTTTAAGAGAAGTTTTTAGTGTTATTTTTTCATATAAATCACAGTGTCAAATGCCTGTGTGGTAAAACTAAAGATCATGTTTCTCCAGGGATCAAATCAGATTTGTTAGTTAATCATATGGATCTATTATAGATATAATAGATCCATATCAATCATATATAGATGGATCTTCTTTTCATTTAAATCAATTTAAAGTAGACTTTATTGATACCTTTATTATGTTATGATACAGTATAAGCATGCTAGTAAAATAATTTGAAATCTACATGAAGTAGGTATATAAACTATAAAATACACCGTTTTACTATCGTCAATCTTTTATTGAAATCAATTTGGTCCGTGGTCCTGAAATATTTATCAATATGAGATAATTGTGAATTAGGTAGTTTGTTTCTCTAGCATAATCAATTTGAAATCAAAGGAAAAATATATTATTTTATATTTATATTATTATTTTTCAGAATGTTGTACAAAAGATGTTCCATGATTTCTATCGTGGTGTGGCTGCTTCTATTGCCTAAAGTCGCCACTGGGCCAAAAACAGGTCATGAAATATCACGAACGTCTTTTTTAAAATGATTAAATAGCATTAAACTGAAGAATTTTGAATCGAATGATAAAGCTGTTTATTATCTAATTAGTTTGATATAAGTCAGCCGACAGAATAGAACCTGGACTACGTAAAGTCGATAGGGCATTTCAACTACATGTATTCCGTGAATTTACAATTTAAACTTTGTGAATTCATGTTTTCAACATACGGAATTCACGATTTCAACGATTTCAACTTCATAAATAAACTTTCATGAACTCATGTTTTGAACTTCGATTTCAACATCATGAATTCACGATATCAACTTCATAAATTCAACTTCATGAATTCATATTTCCGACTCTACGAAATTAAAACCGTAAATTCACGAAATTGAAATCGAAAACTTCGAAACTTCGAAACTTCAAAACATGAATATTCGTCGAGTGACCTGTTTTTACGCTGCCCTATTTCGACGCGATTTATATTTTGCCTCATAATTGACATAAGCGGCCGCTTACGATATTACTGTACTACGCTATAGCAAAATGGGATTCCTATAGTTTGTTAGGGAACAATATGTAGTTAGTTAGACACACAAAGGTAAGATTTAGCATGTTATACATTATTTAAGAGATGTTTGTATGATTTCACTAATGCAATTTTGACCCTCATTTTACGATGTCACGTTTTCTGGGAAAAAATCGGCTGGAAAATACCTCCCTGTCTGCTGACCTCATTTCCTCATATTCAGGTCACGTGGCAGTAAAAATTGCCCAATTTTGTTGGTTTTGGCGCATTTTTTCACCCTAAAGACACCTGTACGTGTTGTATATTTTTTAGGGTTATTTATCGATGAATGAATGTAAATTGAAAATTAATTGGATATGTTTATCTTATTTGGATGGAACGAATTGCCATATTTTAATTAGTTGCTCGAATTAATGTATTATTTTGTTTTTGCAGGTTAAACAAAGGAAGTAAAGATGCTATTTTCCAACCTATATTTTTCAGCAGAGGAGGTCAAACAGACAAGGGCAATCATCTAAACCACTGTAAAAATATAATAGCATTTACCATATATAATTATGCTTAAAGAATAGATAAACTATTTTTCACTTGTTGATACTTTGCAGGTCTATACTCTTTATATTGATGAACAACGTAAGTAAAAGTATTATGGTGTACAGTCTCCTTTAGTGTGTAATTAGTCGTTTGAGGACACTCTCAATAAAAATGGCCGCTCCCTAGCAATTTCATGAAAAGGAAAAGCTGGAAAACATCTTAAATTTACCAATTTCATAAAGGTTAGAGATTTTGTTAAAAGTTTAAACATTTTAATCAATACAATCACATGGTTTTTATAGACGAATACAAAACAATCCTTAAGGGCGTCGAAACTGGTCACACGAGGATAACTAGTTAAAATCGTGAATTTGTGAAGTTGAAATTATGAATTCATTAAGTTAAAATCATGAATTCTTGAAGTTGAAATCGTGAATTTATGAAGTTGAAATCGTGAATTCTTGAAGTTTAAATAGTGAATTTATGAAATTGAAATCGTGAATTCAAGAAAATAAATCGGTCTTTCGTACTTGTCAGTTTATACTGATAGTATATACTTATCACTTTAAGTTCCAGCAGGGTGAGTTATACAGAGGGAAATGGTGGTAAATATATTGTATTTCTTAACTTAATCATAATACCGCCATACATATATGGCTTCACATAAATGAAACTGGTGATATTATATGTTTCTTTCTAAATATGCAATATAAAATTTTCTGATATGAAATTACTGGATACTTAACGAAGCAATACTGCTGTTCAAGATTCTTAGATCCAAGATGTTTCTTTTTTATATAAGATAAATATTTCAAACATGTATTTTAATACGAAGAAATACGACTTCTAAACATAATAAATAATGATATCTATACATTTCAGATCGGTCTATACCAGTTGAGCATTCGTGTAACCGCTTGCCTTATATCCTGAAAGATACGGAACTACGATTTAGTTACAGTGCTGATCATTTGATGGAACGCAAATGTGTTGTAACTATTTCAGCACATGATAAAGTGTGCGTCAGTTTCGTGGAGTATTATCTTGATTGTGAAACTGACATTATTCTTGCAGAAAGTATCAAGTCTGTTGAGAAAAAGGTATGTTATATACATTCAAAGTAATGTCCTTCACACAATGGAAATAGCATGGATTTCAGGATTTCAAATTACAAAATTTTAAATTTTCCATTAATTGCTTGCATGCATAAGTCTTACCACAATATAGTTGGTGCTTCTGCATTTTAAATGTTGATTTAAAATTATATGTGTCAAAGATTGCATATAGCAACAAACAATAAATAATAATATAAGAAGTTCAACAGCTCTGCCTTCTCATCGATATCATATTACTAGTTATTAGGAAAGTTAATAAATGCACATAAGTCATATACATGTCTGAAATGTAATAAAATGTTTTCTAACAAGATATGCAACTGCTATTTTATCAGGTTTATTGGTGATATTGCGCATGCGTAACCTTTTTTATCGGAAACATGCGTTCGCTATACTTTCAATTTTGTTTGACACGAAATTTATATATAAATACACGTATGTGTATGTGATAATTCTAGAGGTCAATAGTAAGAGAGTTGGTCTGGGAATCGGGCGATCCGGGTTGGATTCCCGGACGGCGCAGATTGTGATTGATCATGAAATTCTTTATTAGGTCTGCCCTGTACCTCTGCTCTGGCATGTACGGAAGTAATCAGTTCTTGTGAAAGTGAAAACAACTAGTACTGGTAAACTGCTTGATAGCCTGCCCAGGAACGATGCGTTGGCTAACCTGTGCTGTGGTAAATTCAATGTGGCTAACTGCCGTGATCCGGGGTGAAAACTACCATCACCATGTGATAAATATTTTTTCCGAAGTGAACTCTTCTAATTTATCACATGCTGCACGCTCATGAAAATGTTTTGATTTTCTCATTCTAAGGTTATTTCCTTGAAACCAAACACGACATATTTCTCCTTTAGCATGCTATTTCCTAATATATTTGTGTTAATAATGTAAAAAATCAAAACTATCATAGTCATGTAAAGACTCGTAATACATATATATATATAATAGTTGTTCTACACATTAGCCACCTTTCCAATGAAATAACCATTGTGTTATTTTAAAGGGACTACACTAAGATTTCTGAAATGATATACCCCGAGATTAATTTTCCATTTGATGTCGGTCTGCACCAATAATTTGTGTGCAAAATTTCAGACCATTGGATCTCTCCATAACAACTTATTGTGAAAAAAACACGCAAAATTGAATAGCGTCTCAACGCATTTCACTCAAACCGGGCTAAGAATATCATAAAAATACGATTTTCAACTTATTTCTGATCATATTTGGAAATGAACCTTTGCATAACATATTGTTTTAAGTGCCCGGGCTGATCTTTGTTAGATATTCAAATTTTAAGTTTTTCGACCCCAGTGTTGTTCCTTTTAAGTTTCTTCTTCTTAAGCTGTACTCGTATAGACATTTAGTGATAATGGTGATACATGAATTACCTTATCTCCCGTGTGTGTTTAGAGTACGTTCTTGCATTAGGTAATTATTCAATAATCCATATTTTATAATATATTTATGGTAATGTGTCTACCATAGAAGAAAATTTTCTATTATATCCATTTTTCAAATCTAATTTCATATGTTCTTTTTTATTGATACCTACAAATAAAACAACAGCTTATTACTTTAAATAAGACCATAATTGTAGACTTACAGGTGTGACACTAAACATTCGGCAGACTTCTGTTCCTCTAAACCAACCCTGCAAATAATTTTTACAACGGAAGAAAGATCTGCACAAAGACGGATTTGGATATGCTGAACTGAGGGTTTATGGCACAAGTAAGATTTTTTTATAAATTATCATGGCATTTGCTTAAGAGGTTAATGCTTTATTAGTCATCATACTATAGTATATAATGTATATTGATTATTTATGTTTCTGTTTCGTTATAAATTATATTCTATCTTTGTATATATAGAATCATCTTTTGATTATAACATACAACTCCTCAGTATTGGAGGAAATAAAGATTAATTAATTAATTAATTGATTAATTAACCTATATAGTAAATGAAATAGTACAATTTTATAACTTCATATTACTGGTCTGAGTTATAACCTTTTACATGTTGTATATATATTATTCAAACTTTTGTATTTTTGTATGGTCTTGTGGTTTGTCGCTAGCGAAACACGCCGAACAGCACTTTGTCGCACTGTCGTCTTGTCGTCCTGTCTCTAGAGAAGCACGCCAAACGTTAAGCCAATCCTTTGATTTGAGCCCAGCGACAATGTGACATCGCGACAACACGCTGCACGGCAGCACGCCGCTTGGCGTGCATCGTTAGCGACAGGACGACAATACGAAATCCGACAACGCGTTTTTTTTTTTTTTTTTGCATTTTGTCGTCCTTTCGCTGGCGACAACATCACACACAAAATCACTCCAAATCAGCCACCATATTTTGTGATAAAAAAAAATAATGTACACAATTTTTGTGTTTACATCTACAGGTAAACCGGCGTGATTTCTGGAACTGCATTAACTGTGATAATAGTAATAGGCGGGATATTTGGCATACTTCTGCTCCTAATTCTGCCGTCTGCTTTTTTGTCACGTGCGCTGTATAACCTACATTATAAAGCAAGATTGGAGCAAACACAGAACTTAGAGGAATATCCTTTGCAAGGAGGTATCAAATCGAATTTATAAATAAAAATATATGTATCAAACTTGGATTACATATATAAATTTCCTTTTCATCTTTTAACAATGGAAATAAGCTAAAACGAAATGTACTCTTTTCTATTTTCGATAAAATTAATTTTCTTCTTTCTATGGTGGCACAAAGGTGATATGTGTGAGTTTTTATTTATCTCGTGGCCACGAGATACTATGTCATGGCCACGAGTTACTAAGTCGTGGCCACGAGATAGCTAAGTCGTGGCCACGAGATACTATGTCGTGGCCACGAGTTACTAAGTCGTGGCTACAAGATACTATGTCGTTGCCATGCGATACTATGTCGGGGCCACGAGTTACTAAGTTGTGGGAACGATGCGCACGGGATAATTAAACAATCAAAATACACTATTTATATGAATTTCCCTAATTAACTAGACATGTGCTATAGTACAAGGATGCCCCTACTCCACCAGCCTGTAAAAGTGTCATTTATACAACTTATTGACTGGTCAATAATTTTACATTTAGCGTCACTGTGACCCTGGTTTTTGACCCAATGACCTCGAAATTATTAGATGTCATCTACTGATCAGGCGTAATGATCTTTCTTGGTTATATAAACCATGGCTTATCCCTTCTAAATTATTCATCAGACAAGGACTTTACCTTAAACTTTTTACTTTATAGGCTATCTACTGTCCATGGGCAATGTTTCGTCCAAATAAGATAAATCAGGACTTATTCCTTCTCATGTTATCGTATAAACAAGATAAACAGGCCGTAGTACGTACAAACTGAACAATTCGATCACAAAATTGTCCCAACAAAGGGCTAAAGGCAAAATTAATGTCTGAAGGACAATGGAAGGTGACTTCCTAATATGATACTAAAGACAAGTTAAAAGTGAATATTTTGAGAAATTTCAAGGATTAATGTTGCATGTAAAAGTAAGTTGTTCAGTTTAAAAAAATCATAAGATATAGTGTATTCTGATTGGTTAATTATCTCGTGCGCACGACTTAGTTATCTCGTTCCCACGACAAAGTAACTCGTGGCCACGACATAGTATATCATCGCCACGACTTAGCTATCTCGTGGCCATGACTTTGTAACTCGTGGCCACGACATAGTATCTCGTGGCCACGACTTAGCTATCTCGTGGCCACAACTTAGTAACTCGTGGCCACGACATAGTATATCGTGGCCACGACTTAGCTATCTCGTGGCTACGATATAGTATCTACTGGCCACGACTTAGCTATCTCGTGGCCACTTATTATCTCGTGCGCACGACTTAGTTATCTCATCCCCACGACATAGTATCTCGTGGCAACGACTTAGTTATTTGTGGCCACTACATAGTATCTCGTATCTTTCACTTAAATGGTATTTCTTTTGACATAAATTTTAAACATGGTATCAATTAATTTTTTATTCTATCGAAGAAGTTCCAGTAGAGCCGCCACCACCGTACCAAGGTCCCGAACTCGAGCAAGGAGACAAAGCAGTTCCAGAGTAATGCAGAATAATTGTGATTATATATAACTATACATGTTTAATTATATACATGTGTTATTTGTACGGTATCTGTACATATACTAGTACATAATCTGTGAATTCATCTTTAGTGCAGAATGGTATAGAACAAGAAAGACTTCAATAAGTATAGGTTGCTTCAAGTCTTATTCTTTTCTTGTTTTGATTGTAAATATCATGTATGTAAATATGCTTATGTGACGAATAAAATATGTTTAAACCAAGAATAGATACAAGTATGTTATTCGTAAGGTGGCACAAAGGTGATATGTGTGTGTTTTTATTTATCTCGTGACCACGAGATACTATGTCGTGGCCACGAGTTACTAAGTCGTGGCCACGAGTTACTAAGTCGTGGCCACGAGATAGCTAAGTCGTGGCCACACGATACTATGTCGTGGCCACGAGTTACCAAGTCGTGGCCACAAGATAGCTAACTCGTGGCCACGAGATACTATGTCGTGGCCACGAGTTACCAAGTCTTGGCTACAAGATAGCTAACTCGTGGCCACGAGATACTATGTCGTGGCCACGAGATAGCTAACTCGTGGCCACGACTTACTATGTCGTGGCCACGAGTTACTAAGTCGTGGCCATGAGTTACTAAGTCGTGGCCACGAGATAGCTAAGTCGTGGCCACGAGATAAATAACCAATCAGATAACACCATTTATGTGAATTTCCCTAATTAACTAGACATGTGCTATAGTACAAGGATGCCCCTACTTTACCAGCCTGTAAAAGTGTCATTTATGTAACTTATTGACTTGTCCATAATTTTACATTTAGGATGTACAAGATAGCTAACTCGTGGCCACGAGATACTATGTCGTGGCCACGAGATAGCTAACTCGTGGCCACGACTTACTATGTCGTGGCCACGAGTTACTAAGTCGTGGCCATGAGTTACTAAGTCGTGGCCACGAGATACCAAGTCGTGGCCACGAGTTACTAAGTCGTGGCAACGAGATAGCTAACTCGTGGCCACGACTTACTATGTCGTGGCCACGAGTTACTAAGTCGTGGCCATGAGTTACTATGTCGTGGCCACGAGATAGCTAAGTCGTGGCCACGAGATAAATAACCAATCAGATAACACCATTTATGTGAATTTCCCTAATTAACTAGACATGTGCTATAGTACAAGGATGCCCCTACTTTACCAGCCTGTAAAAGTGTCATTTATGTAACTTATTGACTTGTCCATAATTTTACATTTAGCGTCACTGTGACCCTGATTTTTGACCCAATGACCTCGAAATTATTAGATGTCATCTACTTAGTAACTCGTGGCCACGACATAGTTTCTCGTGTTCACGAGTTAGCTATCTCGTGGCCACGACTTACTAACTCGTGGCCACGACAAAGAATCTCGTGGCCACGAGTTAGCTATCTCATGGCCACGACTTAGTAACTCGTGGCCACGACAAAGTATCTCGTGGCCACGAGTTAGCTATCTCGAGGCCACGACTTTGTAACTCGTGGCCACGACATAGTATCTCGTGGCCACGAGATAAATAAAAGCACACACTTGTCACCTTTATGCCACCGTATATTCGCATTTATCATTAGTAGTTAGATTTACTGACAGTTTAATCAACGCCAACGTAAATGAAACACAGAGATGCTTGAAAAATAACGAATAGCAAGATACTTAATTTCCTCTTTGAAATACAGCATAATTTTTTATGTTATTATTAAATGTCTCTGGTATAATATATTTATTGAAATAAATATCTTTAATGTTTAATCTCAAAATATTGGTTATATCTGCTATCCCTGGTATATTTTTATTGGGGGGGGGGGTGCCATCAAGTGCCAATATATACAAAATCAAAGGGCTGCAAGCTCTGTGGTATTATTTTTATATACAATAATTCATCTTCCATGGTACCAGCGACTGCGTGAAGAATTTTTACTATAACAGTTTGAGTTTGATACATGCGGAACTTTGCATAAGTTGAGTTTCTACTTGCATCATGAAAACATTTATGTCCATTTTTTATGACAGCCACACTTTATCCTTGCATATCGTGCCTTCTTCCTTAAAAAAGACATTTAAAAGAAAAATACAAAAAATAGTTGCCTAGACTGGGATTTCAACTCTCAGACCCTAAACGAGCGCGTTACCCCTGCACCACGGGGAAGTTATACAAAGAAGGCGTGGATAAAATCACGGGAATAAAATCAAATAATTCCAAATTTGGAATTTCCATTTCGGATTTGTAATCCTTTCGAGGTATTTTTGTTCACGATAAACCTGTTGTTTAACACTGATGTAAATAATTTAGCGAAAATCTTCTCGCCAAAATAGTTCGACATGTATTTATTCCACTACTCGATAGTTGGATTTGTTTGTCCAATCAATACTTTGTCCAATAATCGACTATGGTGACCTGTAGCGTCCATTTTAAGATTATACCGCCTGTTTATAAAATGTCGCAGACAAGCTTTAACCCACGAAATTTTATGTCAAAATTGTATATAGAAACTCTCCAGTTTTTGCTGTCACACTTCTGTTGTTTACGAAGAAAACCGCCACATTTCCTGTCTACAAAGTAGACTAAGCCACGCAAACATATACCGACAATAAGTAGTCAATTGCGGCCATTATTATCCACTATATTTTGTTTTGATGCATCTCTTGCAAAAAGCTGAGTTTGAGCATTAAGCGTGCAAAAGAGCCGCGCCTGTTACTCGCCCTAATATTTCATGAGACCATTGTTGAGGAATACAAAAGTCACGGCCTATAATATTTCACCTCGACTTTTTGTAGAATTTCTATAACACTTCCAAAAAAATGTCGCGGATTTCTTTCTGTTCCTCAACTTGTTATAGTAAAACGAGAGATACAATATAGAGTTAAATCCTGGACGCTACCGGCCACAGGAGTAAAAATATCCCTTGCTGAATACAACAACTGTTATAAAATATCGAGGTTTAAACGTTTCGGCGACATTTTTTCACGATTCCGGCAGAAAATCTCGAGGGCTTGAAGTTGACCGCCACATTCTATGATAAAATTTCTCGCGGGTTTTAAATGGCCTGGCATGGAGGCTATTTAAACAGTCGCATTTCAGGTTGCAAAATTGTATATGTAGAAAGACACCGGTTGTACCTGCTGCAGAATTGGTTCCAATCCAGACTTCAAGACCCATGCAACTTGTGTGTATGTATTTTTTGAAGCTGGAAAAGTCCAAAGGAGGGTAAATGGACGTCTTGGTCATTCCCGACCATTTTACCAGATACGCCAAGGCTATTCCTTGCCGTAATCAAAAGGCGACTATGACTGCTCGTGGTTTATTTGAACATTTTATTGTCCCCTATTCTTTTCTAGAGCAGCTGCATTCTGACCAGGGGTGGAATTTTGAAAGTTGAGTCATCAAGGAACTTTGCAAGATCGCAAATGTTCGAAAGACAAGAACAACCCCTTTCACCCTATGGAAATTTATCAGTCGAACGATTTAATCGGACCCTTTTCAGAATGTTAGGTAGTCTGGCTGAAGATCATAAATGTAAGTGGGCAGATTTTGTTCCTTCTCTTGTTAAGGCTTATAACGCCACCAAGAACTCTTCTACAGGTTTTTCTCCTCACTTCTTATATAAAGTACAGCTTGAGTCTCGAAAAAGTCCTGTCAGAACCCTTCATTGGAACATGCTTCTTTCATTTATTTCTATTCCTGAAGAAGATGCAAATTTACCTGTTGAAATTAAGCCTAAACCAAAGCCTAGACGTGTTTCTATACAGAAACAGTCTGATGCTGATTCTAGCTCTTCTGAATCATCATCGAGTATATACATCATACCACAGAGGAGAGTTCCGGTTACTCGCAGTTGCAATACTCGCGTTGATTATGGACATTCTTCTGATGCTCCTTCTATTACTATCCATTCTTCATTTGTTCCCAGGGTTCACCTAAAACCTGTGACATATTCCCCAGACAATGTCCCAGTTACTCCAGTGAGTGTATCAGTTACTCCAGTAAGTGTTTCAGTTTCTCCAGTCACTATCCCAGTTGCTGCAGTTAGTGTTCCCGTTACTCCAGTAACTATTCCAGTTACTCCAGTAAGTGTTCCAGTTACTCCAGTAAGTGTTCCGATTGCTCCAGTAAGTGTACCAGATACTCCAGTGAGTAGACCAAGTACTCCAGTGACTATTCCAGTCATTCCAGTACATACGCCCGTTTCATCTTCACGCCCTATCCCTAGCCCTAGACGTGTGATACATCCACCGGATAGGTATGGAGAATGGGTATAATTATTGTATAATGTTGTTTTATTTTTTTATGCAGTCATTTTAAATTTCATATGGGCCCTAAGTATGGAGGTATATACTATGTATTCATTATTTTCAAAGTAGAATTGACAGCTCTACTGTATTGCATTATTCCTTTATATTTTACTGTTTAACAATTGTAAAATAGTTATAGGAGGGCAGTATATCTTAAATAATATGATGTATTTTGTCGTCATATGAATATAGAGAATTGCATTTTTGTTGTTCGAATTGATTGTAAGGTTAGTTTTTGTAAATCCAGGTTTCATTAATAATTTGTTACGAGCCAGGCGTAACGAGAAAGAAAAGCCAGCAACAAACTTGTAACAATAACAAATTTATTACAGAAAAATTATTAAAGAAAAATAAAATAACAAATTATCTTTACAAATACCTGAAGTCCAAATAAAAATTACAAATGTCTAGTCTGATCCTGGAATGATCCTTTTTAATAGCACAGTTAAATCCAAGTTAAATCCAAGAACACTTTAGAATAAATTCCCACAATAAAATCCACAAGAATAATTAATAATCCAAGCTCCAATAAATCACTTAATTTCCAAGTTGAATAATACTCCAAATATATTGATTTCTAAAAGATCACTGATGACTTAAAAGGTAACTGATGACTTAAAGATAAGATTAATGAAAAATGTCTCCTTATATATATTAACTAAGAAGTTTCCAGAAAGGTCTATTATGTTCTCAAGCTAATCATAATCTAGCAACTTTCAACAATAAAGATCATTCCAGAAGTTTCTATCTAAATATAATGCATGAGTTTTCTACAACAGTTAAGAACCTTCCAGTACATACATGTAGTTTATGTTCTAAAAAATAGAACAATGATAATATTGGAAATACCAAACTGGTCAGATATAAATTATATACATGTAATATGTTGCATACATAACACTTCCCCTCTTCAAGAAAAAGAATATGAATGAAATGAATATTTCTTTTACATAAAAATTCAAACAATG